TCGATAGTGGGTTGCCCAGCCTTGACCCGGCTGCGCGAAAGGCATGTTTTGTCTCACTGAGTAGGCACTTATTGTCTTGAACTGAATAATGGAGCCGTCTATAATTAGGATAAGATTGTAGCTTTTGATTTCAATGATAGGTTGCAGTCCTTTTGTTATATTTATTTGTGCGAAATTAGCTAAATAGTCGTTAATAAAGTTGGTATATAAGTTAATTTCCATTGAAATTATTGTTCAGGAAAGCTTGTCATGAGATTTCTTAGGATGGAGTTGGAGGTACTGCAGATTAAGATTCCTGCCACAAAAATAGCAGGATTTATGTTTCGACGCCAGTGATATAGGACTCGGAGTAGTCCTTATGCAGAACCTAGATGGTAGAGACCGACCCATAATGTACGCAAGCAGAGCACTGAAACCAACAGAAAAGAAATACACGACATTTCAGAACTTTTAAAAATATTAAAAGACCCTTTAACCTTATCTTAATAGGCAAAGTTTTATTAGCTGCAAATAATGAGTCAGGCTATTATAGAATTAAAATTTTCTGCTTGTTTAGTGTGACGTGATTATATACCTAGCCAGGACAATTTAATTGTGCAATATAAATAACAAAAAACGTGACGAATTCCGATTTAAATATAAATCTCGAGTTTAGAAATTATTATTAGGTTCATCATGCTTCGTTATTTATAAAAAGTAATACTACGATTATAAAATACCTACTAGCTGTAAATTATTATACTATACAGTTATATAAAGTGTAGGTGTAGGTATATCTTTAACTTATTTATAGTGCAAAAACGGAAATTAATTCTTTCATAATTACTTTCAATATTACTTTCAGTAATTTCTCTCTGAAACTTTAATCTCGAAATAATTACTTACTTTTCAAAGAAATAAATAAGAAGAAAAATAAAAAAAAACTCGAGTACCGATTGATTTAAGACGATAAGTAACAAAGATATTCGCAGCGGATATCATACGTTACCAAAAAGGTTCATGTAAGAATATTTATTTTCTCGAGACCCTTTTCAAAATACAAGATCTCCTTTTAACAAAAAAACTTTACCTTACTTTATGTTGAGGTCATTGCCATTCATTTTCTTTTTTCTTTTGTATCCCTAACGTTTTATTTGATCAGTTCAATGACTTTAAAGGTGAAATCATTTCAGAACTTTGTAAGGAAGGTAATAATAACAATGAGTTTATAATTGACTGAGTTAGTTTCATAATTTTATGAGTTACTAGAGGCCGCCCGCGACTTCGTACGCGTGGATCCCGTTTTACCCCTTTAGGGGTGGAGTTTCGTAAAATCCTTTCTTAGCGGATGTCTACGTCATAACATCTACCTGCATGCCAAATTTCAGCCCGATCCGTCCAGTGGTTTGGGCTGTGCGTTGATAGATCACCATGTCAGTCCGTCAGTCAGTCACCTTTGAGTTATTATATTTAGATTGCTCACGAATAGATGCCCGGATATAAATTAGCTGCACCCACCAAGTAAGTAAAAAATACGCTACTTTGTTTAGGAAGCGAGGAGCTTACATAAGCTGCATAAAGCTGTCGATTACGGTCATAAGGTCTCTCATAAGCTAACAACTTAAGTAGGTAATGTAATTGCTACCACGTTCCACCTCTGACCGAACGTGCATCATCCTTTACTTAAAGCATTTTTGCACATCAGTGAAGTATCTATACTATAGGTAGATTTCTTTATTTTAAGCTACTGGAGAACAGTTTTTTCTCTTTAAAAAAAACCTGGAGAGTCTCAGCAAAAAAAAAGTATTAAAAAAATGTACAAAGCTTTTGAGCGGTGAAAAATAAATTATTGTTATCAAACTTTTACGTAAAATTAACGTAAGTGCGCCTATTAACGACCCCCCAAAATTTGTATCCTATTACCGCCCTATTTTTCTTTCTTTCATAAAAGACATAATAACAGGTTCCAGAAAACACGTTACTTAAAAAATATCTAGATATGTTTATTGACTATCAAAACGATTAAAGTTTGTGTTCGTAAATAACCAGTAAACGGAGTTATTTCACATTAAATGGGACGCGCCCGCAACGGACGCACTTTTCATACTGACGCGCTCCCAGCTACTTAAGGTGCACCTTGTTATTAATTAGCGATTTTAACACATTTAAAATGAGTATACCAACATGTTTTTGCATAACAATATTAATTCGTACTTTAGTTTCCTTAATAAACCCTCAATATAGCCCTCTCGCTGTATNAAAAAAAAAACAAATTTAACTAAAACTAAAAGCAAAACAAATTTAACTTGAAAAAATCAAGTGGTTCCCGAGCCTATGAGCGGGAATCGAACCCGTGCCTCTTGGAATATACCCAATTGAAGAGCAATATTCTTAGCGGTCGGTAATAGAAACAGAAAAAACGTTAATAGAAACACACCTCGTCTATAGGTCGGTAATAGAAACAACTGCTTATTCAGATTAAATTGCTATTTATTAATTATTGTGTGATTGAATACTCATTGTTACTACTTGAATTCAAAGATTACTTCATCATTGTTATAAATAAATTAAAGTGTCTTTTCTATCACCACGTCTTATATCTAATTTTCTAACGTTTATCCGAAGTCAGCTTAAACTGGCGGTAATAGGCGCATTTACGTTACTTTTGTTTTTTATTACTTTAAGCTACATAATGTTTGATAAATAACTGAAAATAATTAAAATTAAAAAGTTAAATTAATGTTTTATTGCGTCTACAACACTTGTTTATTAAAAAGTAAAATATTGTTACACATTTTACATTACGTGGCCGCGTGGATACTGTCGGGCAAAGTAAAGTGGTCTGGTTAATAAATTATTAATCTTTACAACTCAAACGTAATTTTTGTAGGGTTTAATCAACTTTGGACCCAGGGTGCTTAGTTAAAAAGCTCCGTAGCTGTCATAGCTTTTCTCCCAAATTAATGTGTACATTAGTGTGTACCTACTTCTCTGGAAATTCAGCTAAGAAGTAATTAACTAGTAAAGTACCTAAGGTTGATGTCAATTCAATGTTAGTTTTATTGCCAACTTATCTGATTCACCCTTATTGTATTGTTGAGCTTATGCAGCTAACAAATCCCACATAACGTAGTACAGCTGTTGAAGATGAAATCTCGTTCACATGCAGGTAATAAGTAACATTTATGTACATCTGAGTACTAAGTGCTGACTTACTTTACCATGGGATCTCGCCCGAGATACTCATCATAACATAATGCTACGGTGGCCATGTTTCACCATTGAGCGCGTGCGCAGTGTGGGAAACTGCATAAGTAGCATCCACAAATACGAGGGCTGCACTAAAAGTATCGGGAATGGAATATTTCCACTGTTCCTGTCATATTAAAATCTATTTAATTGCAAACTCCAGGGTTTTTAAAATCGTTTACCATTTATTTATTTAAAAAAAGATTCTCGGTCGTATCACAAGGTCTTGTCAAACTTGTTTAGTCGTTGAGAAAATGGATTGACTCGAGAAAATTCAAGAGCGATGATTTATTATGACTTTTGAAGTGGTTTAACACAAAAACAGTGTGTTGACCGGATGATTTCTGCATTTGGTAATGAAGCCCCATCCAAAACCACAATTTATCGCTGGTTTCCTGAATTTCAACGTGGACGTGTCAAGTTCAGTGATGATCCCCGTCAAGGTCGTCCAAAAACTGCAGTCAACTAAGAAAACGTTGATGCTGTGCGTAAGCTGATTGAAGAAGATCGACATGTGATATACCGCGAAATTCAGGCAACTTTAGACATTGGCATGAGTCAAATACAAATAATCTTGCATGAACAATTAGGTGTAAAAAAGTTGTTTTCCCGATGGATACCGCATTCGCTCTGTGAAGAGCAAAAAGCGGCTCGCGTTACTTGGTGCGTCAGAACTCTCGGGAGATTACATGCAGGATCCTCAAATGCTGTATACAACATCGTATCAGGTGACGAATCCTGGATATACGCGTACGAACCCGAAACAAAAAACCAGTCACGAGTTTGGGTGTTCGAAAATGAGTTAAAGCCAACAAAAATTGTTCGTTCATGGAGTGTTGCAAAAAAAATGGTGGCCACGTTTGTCTCCAAAACCGGCCATGTTGCGACTATTCCTCTTGGGGGACAAAGAACGGTTAATGCAGATTAGTATGCTAGCATTTGTTTGCCACAGGTCGTTTCTGAACTCCGTAAAGAGAACTGCAACCGCCGCATCATCCTCCATCACGACAATGCGAGTTCTCACACCGCGCACTGAACAAAAGAGTTTTTAGAGCAAGAAAACATAGAATTATTAGTCCATCCGCCGTACAGCCCCGACCTAAGCCCTAATGATTTCTATACTTTCCCTAAAATAAAGAATAAATTGCGTGGTCAGAGATTTTCATCACCTGAAGAAGCTGTGGACGCCTACAAAACGGTCATTTTGGAGACCCAAACTTCCGAATGCAATGGTTGCTTCAATAATTGGTTTCGTGTATGGAAAAAATGTGTCAAATTTCGCGGAGAATACTTTAAAAAGCAATAAATACATTTTTAAATAGTAATGTTGTTTCACTTCCTTGATTCCCGAAATTTTCAGTGCCGCCCTCGTATACACGGGGTGGACGAAATCAACATGATGACGAAATTGACGAACATTACTCAATACGGAGAAAGTGACACGATAAATTACAATTTCTGATACCAAAAGTAAAAACTGTTGCATAAGGATGTTGTACTTTTAAATGTTTGGTTTTAAATTAAGTTAAGCGAGTTCGTCCAATTAATATCTGAAAATTCACGATTGATTTACTAACATTCACACCTCGATAAATAATTTATGAAATAAATAAACAATTCATGTTCTTTCAATTTTATCCGTGCGGTTGTCATAATTCAACGCAGAACTTTTCAAAACTTTTGAACTATTCACTGGTGAATAAATTAAAATAAAATATGTAGTTAAACACTATTTTATAGCACATTAATTTATTTAAAAATAAAATATTTACCTCATTTCCATTTTTAATTCACCAAAAGTCCTTCTCAATGGCGACACTGGCGCGTGAAAAACGCGCAAAACCGATACGCGGTAAAATAGCCGTGCGGTACGCGACTGCGCCGACGCGTGCTTTCTCTCGCTTTATAACCTGCCCGCCAGCCGGGGGGCGAGCGAAGAAATGAAACTGTTTGGCAATGCCTCGCGAAACGAACGAATTTCGGTAAATACGATTTATTTCGCTATCATACCAACTAATCAGATTTGCTTCGGAAGTGGCGCTGACGACTACCAGCGGTTAGCAGCGATGAAACTGAAAGTTCGATAAGAACACTCTGGAACCGGTTCAATGAATGCTTATGATACGGATGTAAGGTTTTTTAAAGTGTAGTCTTATCTTATTTAATTTTCCACTGTTGCGTAAAGTAAAAAAACAGTAAAACTGCCCCATTACTTATACAGAATGTCGAAAAACTTGGTCAAGTTTAGGATCACACTAATATCTTAATAGCCTCGAATCACCCCCAACCCCGCACATTTTCTGAAGTTATTTTGTTCATGAAAAAATGTGTGCCTGAAGAAAATTATGTTGTAATTAAACAACTCGCGTAGGTGCCTACTCGCAATAAGCGCTCTACCTTTGTGAACTTTTTGCGTGCTTGATCGCGAAATTATTTTCGGGACACCCTATAAATCTCTACCTAAGTAGGTATTACATGCAGGCGATCACTCTTACAGTTTTGTTTCATAATCTTTTTTTAGGTTGATTCAGGTTTGCTTTAAGGAAAAATACAAAAATACTGGTTCTGTAACTCGAGAGGCAAATCCCACGGCGTGCAATGTAAGTTAGGTTCCTAATGGCAAAATAGCAAACCACTTAGTGATAATTAGGAAGGAGGACTGCCACCGCAACAATCTGAACCGCTGCGAACAAAGATAGGTTAGTTGAAGTGCGCTCTTCTAAATGTTTCCAAAGGGAAAATATCTCTTTAGTCAATTTGATCGATTGGAAACACTTAACACGACCATTATCGGCCTGCATGCATTGCATCGCGGCCGGCAGGGCAGGGCGACTTACTTGTACTACGCTGAACACATCATGAATACATAACACCTTATTTGGGACATCGGAATCGTACGACCACACACAGGACTTTTGATTAAGTAAACCTTTTGAGAAAAAAATGTAACATAACCATTGTTATTTTGATAGAACTAATAGAACTTTGCTAGGAAGAAACGTCACTTGCTATATGTTTCATCTTAATTCACATTTAGTAGAGTAGGTATGCTCAAATATAAAGCTTGGTCGGCTGCTGTTCCGTTTTGCCGGCAGATATTTTTTTAAGATTATTCAGATGCTATGAAGTTTGAACACGATCTTGACTACTCAAGGGTAAGTTGTCTTAATTCTGTGTGGTCCTACATTTTGTCCTGCTCACTTAGCAAAATGTTACGTGTTTCGTCTTCCTATGGATGGATAACGCCATACTTATACAAAACGTATGAAGTACTTTAAAACAGCCTCTCTGTCTTCTGTATGCAGCTCTACATATTTGAAGTCAGTAAGTACTCGATACATTTATTATTATTGTTTATTCGAATATTGACGTCTTGAACAAAATCAATTTTAATAACGACATCGACAAAAATGTTAGAGGTAAAGCTAGTAAATGTTGACTGACTCTTTGCGCTTAGTAAAACAAGCGGACGGTTCCTCTTGCATCTTCTCCAGCCTATAGAGGCAAGTGCAGCACGGGCAGAAGTAGAGGCGCAGGAACCGCGCCATCTTGGACTTCCTCGTCGTCTTCGAGTAGTCGCTGTCTTGCGAGCTGAAGTACTGCTCATCCTCGTGGCTGCACATGGCGTCTGCCCGCCCATCCAGCTCCGCCGTCAGCGCCTCGCACTTCTCCTCCTCAACCAGCAAATTCTTCTCAGGATCGCGGCTGTGCTGGTGCTCCCACGACGTCAGCGGCAGCAGGTACTCCTCGACGTTCATGCTGTGCTTCGAAGGACTCTGCGACTGCAATATCAGAGTCGCAAGATTCACCATCGAAGAACTGTCCGGTTGATGCAAGCCGTCTCCCAAGATGACATTTCCGACGTTCTCCTTCAAATTGCTGCTCGTCAAGCAGAGCTTCATTCTCAAAACGGTTATGTCCGAATCGCTGGGCCACGATATCACATCCGGCAGAGGACTCTTCGCTCGTTTTGACTTCTGCTTCTTCAATTTCTTATGTATGGACTTCTCGATCGAAAGGCCCGATTCTAAGCTCTTAGCTAAATTCGTGGATCCAGTGCTGTTACTCTCTGAAGGCAGGTTAAAGGCCACCTGACGGACACTGAAATTGCCTTTAGCTTTTTGTATATCAATAATGTCCTCAATTTTCCTAATATTCTCATCTTGGGGAGGAACACTCAGATCCATGATTAATTGTTTTTAAGGGGGATTTATTATTTTAGGAATTTTTATTCATTGAAATTAATATTTTTATTCAAGCAGGCTGTTTTCTGACATTAATTACTCAATTAAACTCATGTCAAAGTAAACCTTAATTATCGGTAAAGAGTTTCTAAAGCATTCCGTATTTATAGCCTGACCAGGAACATAAAAACCCTGGCATAGAGGCGCTTCAATTGCATTTGATAGTGCAACACTGAGTACAGTCGTACATGTGTTAAATTAATAGGCTAAATTTATGTATCAGGATTCAGGATTACGGGCTAATTTGATATTTTCATAAACTAACGAAAAATATTATTAAAGGTAACCTGGTTTAAATAAATTAAATGAAACCATCAATCGAGCTAGTAGGATTTATTTTATTATTCATCAATAATCAAATTCAGAACTTGAATATTCAACTGCAATGTCTGCTCATGAACGCTTCAAACTCGGTACTTCTTTCCCAATTCCATAAAATTCAAAACTTAGAAAGTGACAAAAAACTTTAAAATAGGTAGTTGAAACAGACTACAGCTAATTTTCATAGTGGACTGTACTATACGATAAACATGTCAGTCAATTTGACAACCATTGTCGGAAACATTATTCAATGAAAATATTGTCCGAACCCTTAGTATTTCTCTTCGACAAATACATTAACACATCGTGGACAACTTTTCTTTCACGACTATAAAAATATTTTAGCAATTTAATTCACAAAATCAATTGCAAACATTTAAAATAAAGTTTGTTTACACTTTGACAACAATAGACTGACATGCAAGGTGACATATCAATGAAGTTTTCAGTTACTGTTGCCATTAAAAGAAATTAGTACCATTAGTTTTCCGCAACATGGCGAGGGTTTTTATGTTCCTGGTCAGGCTATACAAATACATGAAATACATATTTAAAAAAATATTGTTTGGGATCCGTAATATTATGCAGATACTTTTTATCTTTGGTTGAGGTTCTAAGTTAGCTGATAGTAAACTACATTCAGCTATAAGTCCGCCTTTACATTGATTTGCGTAGCCGTATGTTTAAAAGCTGCGTGAAATGGAACTACGTCCGTTCAAAAATATGAAACTCACTGCACTGCATCCGAGATGTTGGATAAAATAATTTGAAATTGTTGTCATTTTCAATAATTTTATTTTAAATACGAGCTCCATTTATTTATCCTAAATTAATTACTCTACTTTTTCGCACACAAAATAGAAGTCACTTTGTAAATGTAATACATTTCTGAACGACACACTTCAACAAACGAAATGTCAAATTGTCGTCACGTCAGAAGTCAGAAAAATGGTGTAATGTTTTCGCTCGATTAAATTTTAACTTTCTACGATGGAGTCTAATTTAATAGACACCGATGTCGGTGATAAGTGTAATTTAAATGGTGATTGTTCATCTCCGCCGAAAAAGCCAGCTTTCAACATGAACCACGCCAAAAATATCGATGACATTTCTACGCCTTCCGAATTGAAATTCGATCAAGGTATTGTAAACAATTACATTTAAGATTTAATTACTTCCTGGTTAGAGTCCACAAGTTTATGTTCTACTTTCATATTCATACTTCGAAAGTTAATTAAATTTGTTGCACAAAAGTTAAATGTAACGTAACAATGCTGTGTTGTCACTTTGTGTGCAGAGTTTAACTTCGAGGACCCTGACATCACTGAGAAGAGAAGAGGGATAGAAAAATGCCTATCAGATCCGGATTCAGTTAATTTAGAAGAATGGCAGAACTTGGCCAAAAGCAAAGGAGGTTTAATAAGTGGTGAGTGTTGTTGCTTGCAGTTGTTGTTGCTTGCAGTTTTTTTGTTTACCTCATGAATATGGTGACTAAGTGCTATTTATAAAGATAATAAATTACAGCGTTTGTGAAATAATTACGTTATGTTTGTACAAACAATTTCCAGAGTTGATATTGAAACGGTTTTCTTCTTTGCAGACGATTACAGGAAAACAATATGGCCATTATTAGTTGGAGTGACAAAAGAAGAAATGACAGATCCACCGTCCCTGGATGAACTATCCACACATCCAGAGTATAATCAGGTGGGTTATTATCTTAACGTCTTTCACAAAAATAATACTTATTCTTGTTTTTAAAATAACTATTAACTTTGAATTGACATATTCTTCTAGGTGGTGTTAGATGTGAACAGATCTCTGAAAAGGTTTCCACCTGGTATCCCCTACGAACAACGTGTGGCGTTACAGGACCAACTCACAGTACTTATTCTTCGGGTTATCATAAAGTACCCTCATTTAAAATACTATCAGGTGAGTGACGATACAATATTTTCTATTTATAGATAAATTCTGTCATATCAGTAAGCCAGGATTTCAGCTATTATGTTTACTGAGATAATCAATTATTAAAATAATACTTTGTTACAAATTTTTTTGTTGTCTTTCTACAAAAACTAAATTCAATAATATGGTTCAGCTATTGTAATGATAATGACATGTATACAGTTACTACTTGTTTACAGTTTTAGTAATTATCACCTGACCACATTGGTTATGCCGCTGCACACACACAACTTCCTATTGCCCCTTATCTTAATTAAAAGTTGACATTAATGTTCTTGTCCAATATTCTTGTTAGCAAACAATATGAACTACCTTTTGCATAGGTACTAACAAATAAGGAAACAACTTATATAGTTTTATTTGTGCTTTTAATTGAATTTCAAGTTATAAAATCTGTAAATCTGCAAAAAAGATAAAGATTTCATTCAACTTATTTTAATAAAAAATAATAAGAGAACCACTACACACAATGAATTGTTCAAATGTCAATGACCAAATGTAATTAAAGTAATATGTCAAGGATTGACATATAGATCTTGTGGTCTTATTGTGTTTTAATACCATAATTCATTACAACTACTTTTTTATGATAACAGAAAGAAACACTATAGACAGCTTGCAGAGAAGCATGACATCATGATCTGCTTAGGGTGTATATTTATGCATATTTTTATAACTGAATTGTGTAATCAGTAGCAAATTGTGCACTGTACATGATTTGAAATGTTTTTGAAGTAAAAATGATACTCATGTAGGTGTTTAAACATGTGTAGACGTTACCGTTCCACTTGCCCTTATCTGCGTGCGTGTGCAGGGCTACCTACCCGCTAGAGCATTGGTTCCCAAACTTATTTGAGACGCGCCCCCTTTCGACCATACAAAAATTCCGCGCCCCCTTTAAATTCCCCTCCTCCAGTCAAGATTATTTATTGGTCGTATCGTGCAGTCTGGAATGCATTCTTTCAGCGGTCGCAGGTTTTTTATACTTAAGTACACAGATGGCTCGCGCCCCCCTTTAAGGCTAAGAACTCGTGGCGCGATTTTCACCCGCGCTCGCGGCGGTTGCGGGCCCGCAGCTTCTGTAGAATGCAGATACTTAATATGTAAAAACTAATGCATAACTCACGAAGTGGTTTGCGCCCGCGCGCTCTGCGATCATTCGGCGGGCGACCATTTTGTACCAGTGACTTAGCGAGATGCGATTTTTACCCGCGCCGTGAGTTCTTAGCCTAACCGTGCAAATAACCGCTCCCGTGAGTTTTGAAATAAAACAGCAATTCCACAACCGCTGCGGGCGCGGGTGAAAATCGCGCCGTGAGTTCTTAGCCTAGAGGTCTTTGCGCCTCCCCTGGGGGTGCGCCTCCCACTTTGGGAACCAATGTACGGATGACAGCACATCAAGCTAAACACAGTGGGGTCTTATCTGGTTGTAATACGGGCTATTTTGCAACAAAAATGCTGTCGACTGTACTAGGGCATGAACATGTTTGTGTAATGCGCAGGGCTACCACGACGTGGCGATCACTTTACTCCTGGTATGCGGGTCGGTGTCGTCGTTCCCGATGCTGTGCCGGCTGTCGCACGGCCCGCGCGCGCCGCTCGCTCCCTTCATGCAGACCACTATGCAGCCCACGCAGCACCTGCTCAACTACATGCTGCCCGTGCTGATGAGAGCTGACCGTGATGCTGCGGACTGCCTTGACAAGTGAGCTATAAGTCGAGCCCATACTGCCTTGACAAGTGAGCTATACTCAAGCCTTGACAAGTGAGCTATACCCATCAAGTAGTAAAAATGCTGAGATTCGTATACAAAATCAAATCAAAATCAAAATCAAAAATATTTATTCAGTTTAGACCACAAGTGGCACTTATGAACGTCAATAGAAAATAATAAAAAAGGAAAAAGGTAGCCCTTATGGGGCACTTTACATGTCTCCTTATCTTTTGGGCCCTACCAGCGCTTCGAGACAAACATATGGTTACAGTTTCCTTTAATACCAATCAAGGATAGATCTTTCGTAAAAACCAGCAACTGCTCAACTATATGCTGCCTGTGCTGATGAGAGCTGATCGTGACGCTGCGGACTGCCTTGATAAGTGAGCTATACTATGTTTTCACAGCCCATCAAGTCAAAATACTGATATTCGCATACAGTTTTCTTTAATACCAATCAAGGATAGATCTTTCGTAAAAACCAGCACCTGCTCAACTACATGCTGCCCGTGCTGATGAGAGCTGACCGTGATGCTGCGGATTGTCTTGACAAGTGAGCTATACTATGTTGTCACAGCCCATTAAGTCAAAATACTGAGATTCGTATACTGCTCAACTACATGCTGCCCGTGCTCACGCGAGCTGACCGCGACGCTGCGGATTGCCTTGACAAGTGAGCTATACTGTATTGTTACGGCCCATCAAGTAGTAACAACTACATGCTGCCCGTGCTGATGAGAGCTGATCGCGACGCTGCTGATTGCCTTGACAAGTGAGCTATACTGTATTGTTACGGCCCATCTAGTCAAAATACTGAGATTCGTATAAAGTTTCCTTTAATACCAATCAAGGATAGATCTTTCGTAAAAACCAGCACCTGCTCAACTACATGCTGCCCGTGCTGATGAGCTGATCGCGACGCTGCTGACTGCCTTGACAAGTGAGTTATACTGTATTGTTACAGCCCATCAAGTCAAACTGCTGAGATTCGTATAAAGTTTCCTTTAATACCAGTCAAGGATAGATCTTTCGTAAAAACCTGCTTTTGTAAGTAACCAGAAATGACTGTGTTGTAGCGTACTAGCGGCCCATCCCAACTTCGCACGGTTATAATAAAAACTTATTTTTATACCTTTCCTCTACCAAAATACACGGTCTTTCCCTAATCTCTCTTCTTTTTCTTTTAATAATCTTAGTACCATCAGCACTGTGCTCTACTACTAGTTCCTAGATCTTATTGGTATTATAACATCAATTTTACACGTTTTTAATGACTTTTAGTTTGTTTGGAGAATCATGAATTTCTATATAGAATCGTTATGCAATTACATGTTGATTCAACAGTCTTAAAATTGAATAATCTATAGTGACTTGCTTATTTCTTATTCATAATATCGCTTTGTAAAAGATCACGTTTCTGCAGAAACATGAAGCAATCATAAGTATATTCAACAGTCATTCTAATGCAGTCTACCTACACACCAAAACCGCCGACCCGCCGACATAAGTCGTCTACTTTTGACATGTTTAATTTGAAATGTAACTGCCAACATCAAGCCGTTTGGGCTGTCTGCGGGCTTGGTGTGAAGTCATTAAAAGCCTGTTTCTGACGTGCAATATCTGGATCTCAGTTATCTATACTAATATTATAAATGCGAAAGTAAACTCTGTCTGTCTGTCTGTCTGTCCGTCCTGTCTTGCTTTCACGCCTAAACCACTGAACCGATTTGGATGAAATTTAACATAGAGATAGTTTGAGTCCCGGGAAAGGACTTATCCCGGTTTTTGAAACAGGGACGCTCGCGATAAAGTTTTTCTGTGACAGACAAATTTCCACGCGGGTGAAGCCGCGGATCGAAAGCTAGTCTGAAATAAATACGTTTTATTTTATTTTATTTATTTTATGCTTTAACATAACTTCACAGAGCGCAAGTGGGTACGATGTTCGCCCTCCCATGGTACCTGACATGGTTCGGGCACAGCCTCAACCGTTACTCCGACGTCGTGCGTCTATACGACTACTTCCTCTGCGCGCCGCCATTGTTCCCCGTCTACGTCACCGCCGCCATTGTGGCTTACCGAGGGGATGAAGTGCGCGCGTGTGAGTGCGACATGGCCATGCTGCACTGTCTGCTGTCTAGGGTGAGTTTGGGATATGTTTAGATCGTGTAGCTGGCTGGTTCACTCTTCATGTCTGTGAACAGGCGCTGCTTTCGGGGACTGGTCAATCCAAGTTATTCCAATTTATGTATGCGAGTCATTTCTACTAGTATTTAAGTATGTAATCTGTAAGTCTAGATATTAGCACGTCACTACCTTGTTTAATATACCACGCAATTTTGTATACCCATTATACACTATACAAGAATGCATGGTAAATTCAGTGAACTGCTCCTGAATCGAATGTACCTACTACTGCTATTTCTATTTATTTATATTAACCGGCTGACAGTGGTGACTGAGTTTGTTTCGGCGCTTCTTCTTAGTACTTGCCAAATGTTGGTCTCGAAGCGCTGGTAGGGTAAAAAGATTATGAGACATGTAGAGGCTCCTTAAGAGCAAAATGACGATTTGTAAGAACTATTTATTAGTCTAAACAAATAAAGAAATTTTGACTTTGACTTTGACTTAGATCGTTCGTTCGTTCGTTTCAGGCAAAAGACGTCCACTGCTGTACAAATGCCTCCCCCAAAGATTTCCACAAAGACCGGTCCTGCGCGGCTCGCATCCAGGCTTAGATATTTTTTTCTAAAGCTAATCGTTTTTTCTGATTTTTTTTATGCATAGTCTCTTGCCCTTGTAATGCCCAAGGTCTATCTATCTTTTGTAGTTGTGTTTATATCAACTTGCTAAAGAATGAGTATCCACAATGGTAACCAACATGTTTGAATTTCATCTATGAAAAGAGACGACAGAATACAACATATAGATGGATAGACTGCGAGATAATGTCTTAACTCCCTTTGAATTGATATAAACCTAAACGAATTTGATACATCGATGTGTCATCAATGAGATATTCAATCCCTAGTTTGTGTTTGAAACAGACAGTGTTTGTGTGTTGTGTATCTATGGAACAGCTACAAAATTACGATAAACAACTGATACTTGATTTTCTGCAAATGGTGGATATTTTAGACGCTTGGTAATCGGCGCCATAACAAAATTTTAGGTCACGCTTTCCTAAGCTTGATTGAAATTCAAAGTAATGTGGCAGTTAATAATATCCTTTTTCACTTTTTCAGTTACCAGATGACTTGCCCTTCGAAGACATTCTGGTGACGGCCAAGAAACTGTACGAAGAAAACGACCCAGTTGATCTCGAGCCAGAGGTGGCCGCGCTGGAAAGGAGAGAGTGAGTTCAAATACAATTACCCTTTGTGATAGATAACATTCACAATTCGATCTAAGACTAACATGTTTTGCTTTGTTGATTTTCCGCCAATTTTATGTCGATAAGAAGTAATGAAGCGATAAGTTATAATTTATTGGAAAGATTCAATGAATGGTTAAAGGTTATTTATAGACGGTATTATTGTACATTATCAATTTTGAATGGAATGTTTTCTTATCAGTAAAATTTTCTTGCTATGCACATTTATAAGAATTTAACCAGTAATTCTACATATTGTAATACATAATAACTTTTTAATTAACTGCAATTAGATTTTAAGTAGGTAACTTCAAAAATCACGACACAAGTCCTTTGCCTTCTATTTGATAATTTCGTTTTGGCACTTACCAAGTAAATTTTATAACTGGTAACTTCAACTACTCTATTTAAAGCTATGATGTCCTTTGAACTGTAAACAATGAGGGTTTTCGCGATTGAAAAATCCGCCAGATGGCAATACGTAGACGCGAGGTCCAAATGCTGCATGATTGGTGGATTTTGACATATCTGTCAATGTCATGTCAAAGAATCAGAATCAGAATTTTATTTGCGTAAAAACATGGTATATAAAGATGTTACAGAATTCAGTAGTGCACATGTTTCGCCATTACAAATAGCATGCAAAATTACATTTTAGTCGGTTAATAAATTACAATTATATTATATCAAGTATAGCAATTGGATTTTACATACATAAATATTAGGATTTGATGTCATTAAAATCTTTAATGTCATATATATTTTTTGTCAGTAATAAGCCATTTATATAATCTTGATTTGAATTGGTTAATATTAAAAATAACCAATCACGCAGCATTTGGACCTCACGTCTACGTATTGTCATCTGGCGGATTTTTCAATCGCGAAAACCCTCATTGAACAAAGAATCAATCTAAAGATTTTAATCTTTTTTTAATCAATACCTACACACTACTGCTTCAACAGAGAGGAGCAACGCCGCCTAGAGGAGGAGCGTCTAAAGCGTCGTCAGGCGGCCGTGCGCGCGCGCAACAACCCGTCTCTCACCACGCGCCTGTCGCGGCGCCTCGCCCGTGCTCTGCCCGCGCTCGCGTCGCGGCGAACTCTGCTCGCGACCGCGACCGTGCTGCTCGGCGTCTACGTGTACTACCGCCCCGATCTCCTCTTCAACAGGTAACGCCACGCGTATCAGTTTGTCTTCTTCCGCTATTAGCGTGCTGAGTTGGCGAGAGGCGGTGTGGGTGCTGGTGGTGAAACGTGTAGCGTGAAAACGTGACGTGGCAGGAATAGCAATTTGTGACGGGACATATACAGGGAATGGAATTTAAAATCTACTTTCGATCACTTTAGTCCATACTAATCAATAAATCACCAATTAAATTTTACGACACATCGTACCGTCTGATCATTCTAACATAACCACCTGGAATGCTTAGGTGACCTTAATGTCATTTGATATTTTATTAAAATAAACCTCCCTGTATATGGCTTACCTTGCCACTGACGTTACCTTTGTGAACCACTCAATATAGCATCTACATCGTACTCCTCACCACTTGCCAAATGCGCCCAGAATCATGTTCGAGGTGTCCCTGCCTTTGTTGTAGCGGCTGCTTTTGTAACCTAACTTAAACGGGTATAGGGTATGTTGACTAACAGTCATAATATGACCACTAATTGACGCAGGAATTGCAGTCAGTTTTACTGTATTTTATTTCAAAAATAAACATGTCTAAATTAATTTTAACTGCAATTTCTGTGTCAATAGCTGGAGTTATAGAATGCCATCTTTTGTACTTACTAATTTATAGTTCCTTTATTATCAATGTAATTTTAAACTGGCCTAAAACTGATTCCTAAACGGCTTCTTACCTAACCGCACTGAGTTTGCGTTGATTGAACGAATTATCCTAATGTATTATTAGTGTAACGATATGACATTGCCGCCCCTAACGTTACAAACTACCAGCTTAGCAACTCATTTAATTGTTACTTATTTTAACATGCTATCATTCATAAATAACAATAATACTACGTTTACGAGAGTTTCTGATATTGAAACACGAATGTCTAAACTAAATTATGTGCATTGTTAGATGTTGAATGTTTTATTGGGACATGATGCTCGGGTCAGCTTGGACCATCGATCGGTCCACCAAATCGCTGGTGTGGGAAGACAAACTGATGTGTAGGAGTTGAATTATAAAATTGACTCTATTGTTAGAGATATAAGGGACGTTTTTGTGTGGTAACAGACCGGATAAAATGAAAGTGAACAGTGACTATTTTAAGACGGATAAATAAAGAGTGCATAATTTCAGTAGAGCAGTAATCTGCAAGAGTTCATGTTTTGGTGAAGGGGTATATGCATAACTATTTGATGAAAAAAATACTCAAGATTGTATTAAATTGTATCTTTTTTCTGACGTCACAAAGTTGTAATTGCTGATTGTTCTAAGTTTATTAAAAAATTCATGTTAAATGACTCGGAGATTGGTTAAAAAAATGTCAAAGAACTTGCATATACCCAAACAACAAAAAAGTAAAGAATGAAATTGGCACGCTTTTTACAAATAATTAACAAAATAAAATGTTCTTGTTAATCTGTGCTTTATCGAATCCTAGTGTTCGAATGTATAATGAAATTTCTAATAATGATAGGGTAGGATACTTAATAAAATATTATTGAGAGTACCTCATCTCAGAAATGGGAGTGGAGAGGTCCAACGTCGCAAATCTATTTCGATATCGGAGCAATCCTTTTCTCTTTTGCTCACTTTGGATCGGGTAGAACGAGTGAAAGAAACAGCCGAAATATCGAAATCGCTTTGCTGAACTTATGATGATTGAGGAATGATAAACGGCGGGAAATTCGAGGCTTGGACTGAGATATTTACTGGGAGCTCCGCAGAGAACACAATTGCCTTAACGAAGTATTGCTGCCAGTAAGTTTTTAGACAGCTTACAAGTTTAAGATAGATTGTTCAAGAAAATATTTATTGTACGAACTTGTTGATTAGTGTGAATTTTGAGACATTATTGTTCAACTCTAAAGATGTGCCCATCTACATTCATGGGGGACAATGCTTTTAAAGTAAAACGTTGATTTGAATTCAAGATTGTCTCAGAATTAACATATTGTATGACATAAACATAGGGTAGGCACAATAAGTGATAATTCGATGCTATTGTAGGGTAGACGACCCTGGCCAACAAGACAGAAACAAAAGATAGTTTGTAAATAGATATAACCATGAACACCTCACATTACTACGATTATATTAGACTGGGTTACAAATGTGAGGTTATTATTTATTATGTAAAAAATCCAAATATTCCTTTATTATGAAATTGTTAAATTTGGTTATTCCAACGAATGTTTATCAAAGTAAATTATTCTCAAGTGTGTATATTGTGTTCTAGTTTTGTTGAAAATGTGATATTAATTTTGTTACTTTACCTAGTGGTTAGGATAATGTGTTAATTCATTCCTCAAAATGCGATAACTAATCATAATATTAAAAAGTAACGGATTGTGACACGCGAGTCGCGAGTGTCGCTACAGCGCAACTACGAGGAAGAATTACAAAGCATTTATTAATGTAATGGATAATAACACGCACTGTTATATTGTACAGTTAAGCTATTTCACCTTTAGTTACTTACGTTAAGGTTTCAATTTGCACTATAATTTGTATTATAAACGCTCAGACTGTATTTATGGTTAAGATTAATTTTCCTTGGTTGGTAATACATGAGCTGTGTGTAAGTGTAAACTACCTGCTTTCATGCAAATTGTTTGTTGAATGAATTAATTATGTTACAACGTTGTGATTGACAGATCTTTGAGTGTAATATACGACTGTGTTAGTTCGTATGATTAATGGTAAAAAGTTAGTAATTTATTTTGTAGAAAATAGAATCGCATCATCATCTTATTTCATATTTAGTGATTAAATTTGGTCACGAATTTGTTTTGAACAAATGAATGTATTTTACGATGTACCCTACACGGCAGTCAATAGAACTTTCTAATTAAATATTTTAAACCTTAATATCAAAAATAATTAATACGAATATTATGTGTTATTTTTATCTGTATAATTATTATTTTTTGTTTCTCTACTTTTTCTATGTCTAATTAAGGTGCTAGAGCCTTGTTGATATAATAAAAAATTAAAATAATTAGGCATAGCATTCACGTTAGAAATTATTCTGAAAAACAGTTAGTAAATTATTTTAACACATTTTTTATTCTAAATCAAGAGTTATTTAATTTTAGTATCCGAACCTTAAGGTGAGTATAGACTAGAGCATTTACTTGTAACAGAACAACAATGCGCTCTATGAAATGTTCTAGTCTGTCATCACCTTTAGTGTAAAGGATAATAATAAAATTATCTATGAACATAATCTATGGGTCTCTTCAGTATAACGTGTCTCGCCTGCGACGAGGGATAGTAAAAAGCAAATGTTTAAAGACAAAGAATGGTTTATAAGTCCTAGAACTCGTTTTTCTTTGGAAACCCATAGATTAACTTAGAGAACAGATGAATTTATTTGTCAATTTTTATAATTCCTCACTAAATTGCATCAACGCCACAGAACAAACTGCAGTAAGTTCTGTTTCGTATCATTTCATCGCTGCAGTGTTAAATAGTATTAATAAGCTTTATGTATTGGGGCTATTTATAACTACTATTTAAGAGACATTTGCATGTTTGTACGTCTTTTTGTACGATGTGAACATGGCATTGAACAAACGACCGACTCGCAAATTAAATGTTTATTACGATGAAGTGTTTTAATTTAGATTTAGTTTTTCGTCTCAAAAGTTAAAATGTGTAAAAAGTTTTCGTTCACGTCGCTTTATTTTGCGTTTAGATTTTTCACATTCATTGGTGTAGGTAGTACCTATTAGGTGATGGAATACATCATACAGTATTACATACCTGTCATCAATAGTTTTTAACAATTGTTTTATTTATTTTTTTCAGAAATTACGATGATTCAGTCCGAGAACTGTAAAGGGGTGTTAGGAATATCAAAAATAAAGACAGGAATATAAAGGTAGATTTTTTCTTTATTACCTTATAATAACATGCTAAAATAATTTGGCATTCATAACTTTCTAGATGATTTTTTTGAAGACAACATTTTTGAACACAATAGATATGCATTATGATAATACACACTACATAAATGGACGAAATCTATGATTGTTGAATAAGAATCGAATGATCAAGTTAGAAGACTAATTTCTAATCGAAAATAAATGCTTGTAAATAGCAAATAAACTGTAATTCACAGATGAAAAACAAAAATAATAATTACTTGAAATAATAAACTTTGTATTTTAAAGTGAGAGGTATTTATCACAGCCGTACAAGCTTAAGTGTCTCTACCAATAAAGATACAATCAGATGAGTAAAATTTTCTACTTATTAATTAAAATATTTGTTTGGTAGCCTAATTCCTAAAATTAAAATAAGAGAGCAATTAAGTATTTAACATTAACTGGGTCTTTAATATTAAAGCTGACATGACAGAGAGTGAAATATGTTCAAGCGAAAATCGTTTAATCCACATTTACCTATTAACATAAAAATTATATTGACTAATAGATGCTCCATTATCCTAAATATTTTTCTTAATAGTATTATGCGACTTGAGCAAAACTTAGAATTAAAGTATCTGAGTTGATCAAGAATGGCAAGTTGTATTAAAAATTAAATTAAAATTATTTTATTTCCAGTATAGATGTACTGATAATAAAAATTGTCATACATTATAGAAGTTATTGAGAGCTATGATAGAAGATATTTTTCTAATAATATAATTATATTCATTTCTTACGGGGTCGAACTTTAAAATCACTGGGATCATCAGCAAAATTAATTAATTTCATTTGTCTATACGCGGCAGCTAGATTTTGATACTAATTAAATTTAATTACTAGATAAGTAAATAGTAGTGTGAGAGCAGAAATTCTCGTAAATATTTTGTCTTGTCGAAGATACTCAGAACCATTGCTGCACCTCATGTAGAATACATATTTTATGGCTAGGTAAAAGCCCTAAACTAAAGGAGCAAGGATCAAAACTAAACATTGCGCCTTACATTACTAAATCACGGAGGTCGTTCAACAATATTGAGAATTCTAAGCAGCGATGGTCAATAGCAGAGTAAATACAAATGAGTAGGTCATCTTCATAGAAACGCACCGAGCGCGCCAATATACGTATGAGGCGCGCACACACTGACAAAATTCGGTGCAACCACGACTGGCTCCCCGCTAATCCCCGCTAAATTTTGTCAGTGTGTGCGTGCGTGCCGCATACGTGTTGGCGCTCTCACATACAAACCGAGCCCGTGCGTTTCTATGAAGATGACCTACTCATTTGTATTTACTCTGTCAATAGGAAGATTCTTGGATTCAAAACCTGGGCACCTTCAGTCGTCCATGGTCATGACGGTGGTGATGTACTCGATGGCCCGCGGGTCGTGCAGGATCTTGAGGTGCTCCGCGCCCGGCAGCGCCAGGGCCTTGACCGTGCGGCCCCGGGCCCCCCTGGCCCCCGCCGGGGCCCCCCTGGCCCCCACCCGGGCCCCCCAGGCCCCCGCGCGGCGCGGGCGCCAGAACTGGCACGCGCTGAGCGAGCGCAGGTTGACGGTGCCGTCGCCGTCGCCCATCGCCAGCGTCGGGTACCCGTCGAGCCATGTGCCCGGCTTGTACACCAATCTGGAAGGGAAATGTGAGATTTGGAGATGTTGTTTAAGTAGACGGAGAAAAAGGCTCTGTATTCCCATTCTCTGTAGATGTTGTGTCAATTTAATATCCAGTCAGCAGGAACCTATAAAACCTCTAGTTTTAAGTTTGCAAAAGTTTCGTTGCCGTTTGAGAAATACGATCTTGACGTAGTTTTTGAAAATACGATGCGTTTTCCGGTAGGTTGCTTACACTCCAGAACCTTGCTGCCTCATCGACCGTCAGTTCTATGTACTATACCCTGTCCATTCACTTCAGCTTGGAAATCCGCCAGGCTATGTCAGCGACTTTAGTTCGTTTATGTGGAAATCATCGGCGGACGCCTATGTTCAGCAGTGGACATCCTATGGCTGAAATGATGATGATGAATACAGGGACGAGACCAGCCTTGATCTGTCAATAGGCCATATAGGCCGCGGCCACTGGACGAGACTGGAAAGATTTCTTTGCATAACATTTTTAAAGCGCACTCACTTCTCAACGGTGGAGATGTTATACCCGTAGAGGCAGTGCACGTCGACGCCGGGCGCGCTGAAGTCGCCGCTGAAGCGCTCCGTGTCCTTGCGCATCTCCCACGCGTTCGGCAGCTCCATGTCACTGCAATAATGGCCTTTATTTGTATGGACTGTAGGGTTATATAGTCGTACGATTCAGGTGTACCACTCACGCATTATTATGGTTATTGTTTTTACAGAAGAAATAAAAAGGAGACGAAATACAGATACATAAGCCCAGAAAGATTTTGTTATTGCAAGAATTGAAGTCGAAATGGTTCGGCAAAATCGTTATTAATATTTAGTTAAATTTAGTTTCAACAATACATGAATAGCATGTAATGATATTGAAAATGCAACTCATTGTAAAACCTAACCTTTGAAACTTAATGTTTTGTTATAAATAAACATTTTTAATTCTTATCTACCTATAATAATTGGATAATAATAATATGTTGTATTGACAACAAATAAACGAAGCAGAGTAATATCATACGTAATAATTACGTCACATTTGACGCGTCAAGTAGTCATTAGGTCAAAGATCTATCTGCCTGAAGTGTATTGTTGATTTCATCAAATGTAATAATGTAATGTATTATGTAGGAAACATAAGTATACTATTTATTTATTTTTGAAGAGCAACGAGTTAAGTTACATTGTTTTAGAAAGGGAAAAAAGTGGCATTTTTGTAACTAAATCTACTGAAAACACGGATATGCAACACATTAAAATTCACGCTTCGGAGCACGCCCAGTGGTCAGGCGCCGATAACGGCTTATAATAATTTGTAATCACACTCACAGTTCAAACGATGCGATGGGTAAATAACGACACTAAACAAGCTGTTCAGGATAAAAATCAGATTAAAAATAAATTCAAACAACGTAAAGTAAATGCACATGTAATTTGTGTTCGTTTCTCAACGACAATCCTCGCATGCCTTGCGATACATCTCTTCCTCTCGTTCACTAGGGATTAACTAAATGAGGTTGGACCATCACTACACATACAGTCCTCTCAACTTAAGCTGAGAATTGCATTTGTGTGAGTGCACACCGATAGTTTAGAGTGGCAATCGGCTTGAAGCGCGGCGCGTCCCGCGCATGGTTTATTATAGCAAGCGGCCTGAAGCGCGGCGCGTCCGCCACGCACCGCTTCCTTGTCGCTCACATACTTCACTTCACCCCCGGTACTGGTAGCAGATACGTGTAATTTTATGTAATTGTGTTCCAAATATTAGTGAAATGGCTCCTACTGTAAGTGAATTTCCTGTACGAAATCCATTAAGCAGCCAAGTGAAAGAAATTTTATGCAAATTGAATACGTATTTTAAAGGTGTGAACGAAAAGTTTTTAGTCTGTTTTTATTTTGTAATTTTATAAAGTTTGTCTTTTTGTTGTATTTTATAAGGCTGGCTGGACGCCCTCTCTATAAACGGTGCTCGCAGAATATCAGCGTCGAGGTACTTCGTGCCTTGGCATATGCTGAGCGAGGACCTGTTTTTATTTATTTATTTATTTAAAAGGATGTGTCAAGTGTCGTTACATCGGCCCAATTGGTAGCAAGTGTTTTATAGACTTCCTTTTAATAAAACATAAATTTTATTTGTATGTGTTTTACTAACGGTACTTTTGGCGATCACTCACACAAATGCAATTCTCAGCTTAAGTTGATAGGACTGTAGTGATATCAATATTTGTGTTCAGAATAGCCTGCTCAGTTTTAATTAGAAGTTTAAAGCTAAGCGTCCACATGTCGGTATCGTACGCATCGGACGTATCGCACGCAACGGATCGTAGTATTATTTATATAGAAACTCATATAAGTGCGTCCACCTGTCGCACATCCGATACGATGTGTTTCGCACGATGCGTCCGTTGCGTACGATACCGACAAGTGGACGCTTAGCTTAACAGCCTCTCTCGTAGTAAAAAGAATTAAGAAGTGTTTATCAAGTGATCGAGCACTCACGTGAAGAGTTTCTGGAGGTGCTGGATGGTGTAGTTGAACTTGTCGGTCTGCACCAGCACCTCGGCCGGCTTCCACAGCAGCGGCGACGGCAGCAGCCACGCCAGCGACGGGCACGTGATCTGCTGTGCGCGCATCACGCTCTCGCGCAGCATCAGCGAGCCTAGGTCGTCGCCTGGGAGGGGGACAAACACATTTTTACAACAAGCCAACTGGCTTAGGATCATCATCATTTCAGCCAGATGTCTATTGCTGAACACTCGGTACACTCTTGCTTGCCAGAGTGCCATTAGCTTAGGCTCTGACCACCGACTTTTAGTTGGTCGATAGTTAGGCCCGATTCTAATTTGTATGAAGAATCGGCGATGTCGGTGTAAAAATGTGCGCACTTCCATACATGCCCATATTGATTAACTGCCCGACTAAACCATCGGTCGACAAATAATCGGTGGTCTGCGCCTAGGCTTATTGTTGTTTTGATTCAACGATATAATTATATCCTATGCAGGTCGGTTTCTAGGGCAAACGATACACGTAAATGGCTTTTATTATTGACGATAACGAATCCCGGTTACTTAACGCTAATGATTGAGTCACATCAACCAAATATCAAATCAAAACGAAGTTTAAGCATGAAAAAGCCAAGTTACACAATGACTGTTACTAATCTATAAGCGCCTACAATAAAACTCACTCAGGTGCACGGAGCAGGCACCTGTGCGAAACCATTATCCACCCACTGTCTAAACAAAATATGTTCATTTAATTTGTAGCTTCATTTAATTTTATTCCCATCATTGTGCCTCTTGCAGAATGTAATGATAATGTTATCACATAATTTATTATTTAATTATCGCCAGCATGTCATGTATTATTTTAATTAAAAAAACATTCATAATTTACAAAAATAAACATACAATACAGAAATAGAATAAAGCCATAGCCATAGAAGGTAACACGGAAAGGCGCGGGGTGTCCGCGCTCTCTCGTCTAGTGCACTACAGACTAGAGGTGGGCGCCACGCCGGCGCGCCGCCGCCGCCGCGAATTTTTCCACGCCGCCGCCGCCGACGACCAGCTGTCGGCGCGCCGATACTGATACTGTACCAACTATTTGCAATTTATTCCTCTCCTATACTGTACTTTCTGGATTTGTGTTTCGAACGCAGAAGAACTAACTATAATATTTTATTCTTTAATGCCATATAAATTAGTACACAATGCGAACTTAATGCCGTTGATATACTAATAAACTGATTGAATAACTTAATATTAACTGTATAAACTAACAGTTAATCCAGTACATTATTCAAGTTGCTGCTTGGTCTAGTGGATAATTGATTGTGAGAGGCGCCGGTCCCTCTTGTTGTCAAGAAAAAAATCGCCGCATTCATCTGGCAGACAACCCACACTATTAGACTATACGGATAGCGAATCACTCACACAGAGATTGGCAAATATGTCTCGGAATGCAAATGGAAACCACAAACTCTGGAAGGCAACAAAGTACCTCCCTCAAAGTGTTCTCCGCCTATTAGGTCCGGTAATACATGAGTGCGAACTGAAAAGAAAAATTTCAGACTTTTGCTAAATGACAAGTCGGTTTATTTAAACCCATTGACACGGATAATCCAACAAATCTACAATTCAATCCAAAAAATAAGATCAATCATTGGACTTATCAGAGACTTGCAGCTATGTCTGCCTTTGATTCCTACTGATGATGGTGATTCATCCGACCGTTTTCGGTTATGGCGAACACTTCGACTTAGTTGCCTTGGCGGCGCTGGTGCGCCCGAAGATGGCTTACATAGCCGATCTTCGCGGCAAACTCCTCGCACATTGAGAGTATCTGAGCACGCCGCCAACATAAATACATAATTATAGTGAATGGCGGCAGATGAACGGGATTTACATCATCGCGTTCATTCGCGTTGAGTTCAGTTGAGCTTGCGGACTCGCCTCTTCACAATTTCCCGTCATTCTAGGCGCTGTGCTGCCAAACCTTCCCATTGTGATTTTAGAGGGCCCGTTTTGCATCTTTTCATGTGCTGCTTCTGGATATCTTTGTACTTGACTATCTGAGAAGTTGACCGCCATGTTTCCGCTTGCCCTCCTCAAGTTCAAAGTAGAAGATTGATTCCTACTACGCTAAGAGGGACAAAAAACGCAGGAGAACCAAAGTGACTGACATAGCCCGCAGAATCGCTAAAATCAAGTGGCAGTGGGCGGGGCACATAGCCGCTGTGATGGCCGCTGGGGCAGGAAAGTTCTTGAGTGGCGACAACGAGCCGGAAGACGTAGCGTGGCAGGCCTCCCACTAGGTGGACCGACGATTTGGTGAAGGTCGCGGGAGGTGCCTGGATACGAGCGCGCAGGACCAGTCTTTGTGAAAATCCTTGGGGACAGGCCTTTGTCCAGCAGTAGACGTCTTTCAGCTGAAAAGAACGCTAAAAGAGATGGCTAAGCTAAAGAAATAGCCAAAATAGACCCTCACCTGCATTTGATCTGAATTCCATGAACTCCATGGTCTTGACAATGACACACTGAGTGAGAACCTCGCAAGTTTCTTTACTTTGGAAATGATCCATAAGGCTGGCAAGTCGCTATCACTCAATAATAATCTGACATTTGTATTGTTAAAAATTAAATGAAATTAAATGTTAAAAATTATGGAAAAGGATCATTCTTGCTCGTTTATTCCCTTGCCTAACCCATGACTAACTATGACCCATGTAATATAGTATACCCGACCATAAATTTTATCAAAAACCATATCAACCATAATCAGTATAATGTTTAGAAAAGATAGAATCCTGTACTGCTTTCGTGGCGGCTTCAGCTGGGTTTAGCACAAAGGACTACTCTATGAAATTAAAAAGTACCTTCCAGCACACTTCTACTACCTGCTGATGGAGTCTTATCTTAGTGACAGACAGTTTTAAACCAAACTCCTTGACAAAATCTTCTCTTTTTAGCTGCAGAGCTGGAGTACTCCAGGACTCTGTACTTGGTCCGGTAGGTACTCTATAACATTTACTAGTAAAGTAGTCTAGACACCAGAAAGCTGCGGTCTTCTTCAAATGTAACTGCGATCTTAAAGCGACTAGACTGTTGCAAAGTCAGCTAAATGCCACTGATGCTTGGCTGATCGAGTGGCGCATGTATGCAAGCGCCGAAGTCTCACCATATTATCATTTAAGACGTGAAACTTATCCTCTAGCCAATCTAGACCTCGACACATTACTATAATCAACCTGCAATAAAAACTTGGACCGTAGCATGACATGGAAAGACCATAAATATAAATTAAACAGATATAATATTTGACCGACACTCAGCTAATCCAACATTAACTATGTGCCTCCAAAGAGCTCAAAAATACATGTTAAGGGTACTTTTATCGGCACATTGGTACGCTCGCCTTTAGGAAACACATGAGAACCTGATCTCACTGAAGACCGATATCCAAATATCAAATTATCTATGATCAAGAGGGCTAATTTACTAGGGTAAACCACTGCTCCAGTGGCTCTACCGTGTCAAACCCCAACTAACTGCAAATCACCTGATTAGTCTTGACGACAGATACTAAAAAAGCAGATTTAAAAAAAAACCTAATAAATAAAGGTCAAACAAGGTCACGCCGCCGACGCCGCCGCCGCCGAAGTCAAAAAGTCGGCGCGCCGCCGCCGACCAATTTTATATCGGCGCCCACCTCTACTACAGACAGAGTAAATACAAATTTCTCTATGCTACAGGTAAGTATTAAACAAAACTTATTTATGTACTTTTACTTGTTAATGGCACTGAATATGACTATCAATGTAACCAACTCATAAAAAAGATAAGACATATTAAAGCAGTAAAATTATAACTGTTTAATTAATACAGATAGAATAAAGTAATTACCTACACTGGTGAGGAATAATTAATAGGGGCCAATGTACTTTATTACAACTAGAAATAAATGTTGCAGTATAACAGTTCTACAACTCATTAGAAGACTTAATTTGACAAACTCCTATTTTGCAAGTCCTATGTATTTTTAGATACCTACCTACAGTTTGTTGAACTTAGTTATGCAACTTGTTTCGTGTGTTTTAAATAAATAAACAAAGATAGTACTTTAGGTTGTAGCATCATAATACAAAGCAGGAAAAATTTAACATTAGTAGTACCAGCTATGTGGCGATTGAAATGACGGCACATTCTGGACATGGAGAGCCAGAATTAATCATGGAGGGAGTCCCAGTGGGGATTCTGCTCTCATCGCTTCTAATCACACAAAATTTCTGGTCATAGTCTTCTGACTAATTGCATGATAGAGTAAATTATATTAAAAAAAAGTAGTACCATACCTATAGCAAATACTTTAAGAGCTTTGACAGAGCCTCCCCAAGGAGTGGAGAGGGACACCATCCGCCGGATGTACTGGTCCTTCCAGGCCTGCGTCTGCAGCCGCAGGAAGTGCAGCGCCATGGAGCCGCCCATGCTGTGCACCACCAGCGTCACGGCTGACTTGTTGTTCCTGTTGTAGCTCTCTTCCACCAGGGACTTTAACTTTGGAAAGAAATCAACATTTTCATCTGAAATTTTAAAAATAATGTGTTGTTATTATTTTTTCTACATATTCTTAACTTAATCTGTTATGAGAAACATAATACTACTACATGTTTTGAATACAGTGCCACAGTATAAATCATTTACCTGTTCTTTTCCTTAATTTAGAAAAAATAAAATCTTTATTCAATTTAGATCAATAATTGGCACAACAAATTAGAAACAAACTGTTAGGCAATGTAAACAAGCATTGTAAGACAAAGAATATGTAACAACACTTACTAGGTGCTTTCCTGAAGTCATATGGAGCTCCTCTTATGGAGACATTTCTAACATATCCCACTTTCACGAGGGCATCAGCGATGGTGTTGAAGTAGGCTCCGGGCGACTCGTGCGAGGGATCCAGCCACTCCACCGGCTCTGCGTTACCCCAGCCCGGCACCCTGATATCAACCCCTGCTGGGTTCCTTGTGGTACGAGTGACATTGTCATACTCTAACCTAGTGTTGTCCACAAAGCAGTCGATCACAAATGGGACAAGCAGCTCCAAATTTAACCAGATATTGAAATAGTCCGTAGACGTCTTCGCACAGATATAGTGCACCACAGATGATTTGTTCAGCTTCGCTTCCAGCTGACTACCCCCATCACCTGGAACTAAAGTAAATGCAAAATTTTTGAACTGCTCACTCGATTTTAAGCTACAATAATTTTGTAAATGAAAAATGTTTCTGTACTCACTCAAAATAACTGGTGACAATCCAAAGGAATCCTGCGCCAGAATACAATAAGTAAATATCAGCACGAATTTGAATTTTCCACTCATTTCATCAAACCCTGATGCACGTTTGGTGTCGACACTTATACTCGGTTATTCGAACCTGTTAATTCTCGAATGTTATTTCCTTTATTTTACGTAAGAATTTGTGCGATCGATGTAAAATCACGGACTCCAATGACGTAGTGGGTCGTTCGATGTTTTTCTCGTAGATACTGGCGGGGGGGAACAAACACGCGAATGATAACAACAAAATCAACCGTTATAACAATCCTTCAGACAATAATCATCAAGACCACTCTGAGTACGATAATTAATTGATAAGATTTATAAATAATAATGCACAATCACTTCTTCTTCTTCTTCTTTTATTTTGGCCACAACTTGGTTTTGAGAACCACGATTTCGCCAATGTCACGTAATCAGCTTTGACAAAGTTTACAGGGTTTTTAAAAATTCAAAAATGTTTAAGTTTAAAATGTTAAGCTAAATTATTTGTGTGAGTACCTTAAACAAAAAAGACATCACAAATTGAGACAACACAAATATATACATAATACCGATTAAAATAAATGGAAGAAAGAGGGTAGGAAGGAGGAAGGTTGGGAGGGGAAAAATAATTTGGATTACCTACAAACGAATTTTGCGGGATTGGATAAATTTTGATAACTGTTTTAAAAGCGGGGGATTCATTGAGTTTAATAAACATTTAATATTAGTAGGGCGAGGGACGCTTTCAGGGAGGAAATCTAATAAGGAGGAACCTATGTTTGGACAGTTGAAGAAAATATGATTAGTATTACCTTCGTCTAAGCCACATTCACACAAGGAACTATCCTTTATGTGCATCTTCGCTAAGTGAACCGGAGTACACGCATGACCAATTCGCAACCGACATATAATAGAGACAGTACTTTTAGGTAAGTGTTTATATTTAAAAAACCATGGTCTAAGGGGAATATCCTTCTGAATGTCTGCGTAATATTTGCCAGCCAACCTTTTTGAGTTGTCCCAATGTATTCTCCACGATTTATAGAGATGGGCTTGGGAGAGAGATGCAGCATCGTGAGAAAATAAAGAATAATGCTCCAGTGAACCGAAGGTTATGGCATGTTTAGCACATGAGTCGACAGATTCGTTACCCGGGATTCCTCTGTGACTAGGAATCCAAGCCAATACTACATTGATATCTTTCAAACGGCAATCGAAAAGGGCTTGTCTTATTTTTAGAACGGTGGGAAATTTTACTTTAGATTTGAAAGGGTTAGCCAGAATTGATTGGAGACAACTAAGGGAGTCCGAGAAAATTAAAACATTATTTAGTGAATGAGATTTCGCATAAAGTATGGCTTCTAGAATTGCTATTGCTTCACCGGTGAAAACCGATGTAACAGGGGGACATTTAAAACTAAGTGCGACTTTGTACACAGGTATCCACACTGCTGCGCCGACACAGCCGTCATCAACGAGCTTGGACGCATCTGTGTACATCGTGAGCCAGCCCTGCCAGTGTTCAGCCAAAATATTTCTGAATTCTTGAGGAGCTGTAGGAGAGTCTTTTGAAATACCAAAATTAAGGATAATAGGAGGTTGAAATACTAATGATTCGAAGCTGTTGGAGAAGAGGGGGGAAATATCAATTTTAGTAATGGGACACGGGAGACGACCAAATTTCTGGACATCCGTCAGGAATCGTCAGTGAATCCGCAAGTTCTTCCATTGGAAGATCAGAGGGAATTTGTTTGATAAGGCCCATACGGGTCACGTTGTACGTTGGGATTGTAGCTGAATACTTGCAGAGAGATAAGACCTCATTACTCAGGAATTTGTTTGCTGCACTAGCAGAGGAAAACTCGACTGAGATTCTATTTCTCCCAATTTTCTTTATGCCGTCGTTGATGACATCAGTGATTTTGTGGGTAACCAAGAACTTTCCAAATCTAATTGGTTGGATATATGTTGGGGCATTCGGCTCGGATTCGATACGGGACACGTGAACAATAAAAGGACCTTTGTCCAGGTCACTGTAGATTTTTGGGGAAATCACGAGGGATGGGTGCGTGTACACCGGTTGGCTACTTGGGGAAGACAATGGAGCAGAAGGGTTGTTGGAACGCTTAGCGGGCTCTGAAAGAACCTCCGTATCCAGACGGCGTTTTGTCGCGGCTTGGGAAAACAATGGCTGTGAGACTTCCATTGGAAAGGAAGCCGGGTCCGGAGGGTCCGGGGGGTCGGGAGGAGTTAATTCCATGTTACTTACGGTTTTACCAAATAAATCCGTCACCTGTTTTTACTTATTGAAAATAACTAAGCTTAAAATTAAATTTTTGTGATAAACTGAACGTTAAGCCTTTGATTTTTCCACTGAAACACCTGAAACACGTGTTGCCACTGTCACATGCGGCGAGCGAAAAAAAACATGCACAATCACACTCCTCCTCGTAAAACAACTGTTTTTGTTTGACAGTTTTATGTTTTGACACTGACAGCTTGCCAGCTGACAACATGTCAGTAGGTTCCATTCTACAAAAAATATTTTTATGAGAGATTTTAAAATGATAAATAATTAAAAATTTAACTCAAAATAATGTAATTAGGCTAAAGCTTGAGATATTTTATATTCTGAGGTACTTATCTTCTAAGTTTTCCTGATTATTACTTTCAAATTTTGATCTACATCAATATCATAAAAATTAACGTTTCGTTTCTATTGATAACTCGACAGAGCGCAAGCGCGCATTATTTCGAAAAAGTTAAAATGTCCATCGATGACAGGTCCTTTCTCTGATGTTAATTCGTAATTATTAATTTATATTTCTGTAGTTAATGTAGTTTTAAGTAGAATTTTAAGTAAGGTCCGTAAAATGTTAGGGGCACGATGTAAAAAGGGAACAAAAAGGAGCGGATATCGCTTTTTCCTTAGGAATTGAAATGTTTCTGCAGGTGAGCGTAGATAAATCGATAGTGCATCTTGCATGCATTCATATTGTCCCCTTGTAAAAGACTTTCTGATTGCAGGGTCGCGTTATAATTGTTTGGTTATCTTGGCTTATTGGCGGCGTTTGCGGAGTTGTTATTTTGTTAATAATTATATGCTACTGTCGCCTAATGCCGCGCCACCAGAAATCTTTTGGTAGGTATTTTATTCTAATATTGTTATTGTAATTTATTACTTAAATAAATATTCTGGTATGACGTACTGTAAGATAATCATTATCGTTTTTCAGATGAACAATATCTCAAAGAGAACTATGCAATCAAAGAAAATCATGCTTATACGAGCCAGGAAAATTATAGAATGAAGCATACAGAGGTAAATTTACATATTATTCTGTGTAAGTACATTCTATTTTACAAATATGCATTCCATAGCAATACTATTGTAACTATCTCTTTAATTTTAAAAGCATATTTAAGTCATAATCTTGGTGGTGAGATAAATAAGGGCCTTGTGCACATCACAGTTTTTAAATGCGCTAATTACGTGCGTTTTTTTCCAACAAATGTATAGATTTGGCCCGACTTTCGTGTGTATCGCTACAAACGAGTGTCGTCGTTGCATTAAAACTACACTGTGTCCCTAAATGACACCCTTTGTGATCAGTAGTTTTTTTTCTATCTTTCTCTTATTTTCTACAAATATCTATAGATTTCGATTTACTATCTATAGATTTTCTTCACTTTCGTGTGTATCGCGTCTGTATCGCTACAAACGCGCGTCATCGATGCGTTATAACTACGCTGTGTGCGTAGTCCCAAAATGTCACCCTTTGTGATCTGATCAATAGATTTTTTCTATCTCTCTTTTTATAACGTTGGCAACAAATAATTGTATTTTTAAAATTGGAACGATTTGCGTTCAGGTGCAGGTTCGCACAAACGCGCTTTATCGATGCATTAAAACTACGCTGTGTGCGTAGTCCCTTAAGAGCGTTTACGCCGTTTGGCGCAAAAACAGTACTTTTTCAACTCGTTACAATCATTAACCAGTAATACTACAAATATGTTATAGGCATAAATAGTTAGGCAATTTCCTCGTCTAAATAGTTAATTGAGAAAATATTGCGATTAGTTTAGCATTTAAGAATTCTATCAAGATAAGTCCACACAGGTTTTGTAAATTTCCACTTTAGCGTCAGTTTAAAAGCTGAAATTTTTATAAAAATACTGTGAAAACGATTTAACAAACATTTATATCCTATAGCATAGATCCTTGGGCAAATAGTTATCTGAGAAAATTTTTAGATTTAAGCATTTTACAATAAAAAATCACAAATTAAAAGAACGTGAAATACCCAAAAATCAAAGTGATTTTTTCACCAATATTATTCCTTTATTCAACACAAAAATAGCTTAATATGATAGAAGAATATCTTATCTAAAATATTTAGCCCTGACTACTTAAGGACAGGAAAAAATCAAATGATATCGCGAGCTAACTACGAACAGCGCCATCTATTGACAACCGTGCGAACTACGTAGTGTCGTTGCTCGGTGATAGGTGTTGCTGATTGCAGCTCATTGTTACAATACTTTTTATTAAAATCGGATTTTATTCCGGAGGTTTTACAATTTCTTACTACTTTCGCAAATCATAACAAATGAAGAAAGGAATTTACGGTGTGGTACCCTCAATGTACAATTAGATTTCGAGCGATACCACTTTTGGGCATTCTCCTTTGATTGTAATAAACTTATGAACCAAATATACACTAGCCGCCTTGTGGTTGCTCGTTGCTTTGCAATTCAGTTTTTAGACTAAGTACTTACTTTCTTTGAATGGTTTGGTTTATATAAACGCATGCAGTGTTTACCTACTATTATATATTGTACTCTTAGAACATAGTATCAATGGATTTTTTTGTTATATTGTATGTATTATTGTACAATTGTTGGTAAACCAATAAATAAAAATAAAAAATAAAATTAGAATACCATACCGTTCATATCCTACACGGGAGACCCGTAAACCGTAAATATTCGCACACGCTCCATGTAAAACGAATGCAGGTGAGCGCGCGCCGCTGTATAGAATTACTAAAATGTTCAACTGTCATTTCACCGAACTTGAACTCTTCGCAAGCTCACCTGCCTCGTTCAGAAAAGCATTGCACCAATCTATCAAGGATGTGAGTTTGTGATGGTTGATGTTTGTTTTTCTAGATCTAGACTTAATTTAAAAAAAAAAAATCTAATGTTTTGTTAAGTACCAAACGGAATGGAAAGCTGCCGAACGGATTTTGATGAAACTATTTATATTACACCAGAGTGCCATTTAGGCTATTATAATTTGTGCACTAAGCCACAGAATAAGTAACAGTACAGGTACAGAAGGATTACTCCGCAAGACGATTTAAATAAATGCGAGTCTTGATACGACGCGATACAGTGGAGTTCAGCTCGCACAGCACTAAGTACCTACAATTTTATTCACCTACAAGTTTTGTCTCTTTCTATCGCGTGCCTCTGAACTCTTCTTACGCTGTTAGGGTTGCTGTCTAGTAGTGTCTAGTAAAAAAATAATTAATCTACTTATTTGTAATGAGGTACGTATGTAGGTAAGTACGCATTGATTATGGAAAACCTTGAAAGAGGCCTTTGTCCAGCAGTGGACGTCATTTTTGGCTGAAACGAACGAACGCATTCTGAGCAGTAGTCATGGTAGGTTAGGTTCCTATACTATCCTAAGAATTATTGATTACCTACATGGCCAACATACCTTTGAATAGAACCGATATGAAAAAATCTCTCACCATTAAAATTCAAATTTTTTTCTGCTGAACATAAGGCTGTATAAAATATTCTCAAAATAGTAAAAAAACCTTTGATAATTTACTATTTGATAAAGAATTTACGTATTTATTATTGATAATCACTAATGTATACCATTATTTATAATTACGGAGTCGGTGTTGGAAGATTTAAAGATTTTATAGTTTCCTTGAGCTGTCACTTGACAGCCTGGCACACTTTTACGATGGTGGATCAAAGTATTTTGGTTTGACTATAGAGCGTGAGAACACGCACACAGTCATAATTATTTTAGTGTGAATAAAACTAGCATCGAAATTACCTAAACTTGACATGCCACGCTAGACGTAAACGCTCTTAATGACACCCTTTGTGATCAATAGATTTTTTCAATCTCCCTTTTTATAACGTTGGCAACAAATAATTGTATTTTTAAAATTGGAACGATTTGCGTTCAGGTGCAGGTTCGCACAAACGCGCTTTATCGATGCGTTAAAACTACGCTGTGTGCGTAGTCACTAAATGACACCCTTTGTGATCAATAGATTTTTTCTATCTCTCTTTTTATAACGTTGGCAACAAATAATTGTATTTTTAAAATTGGAACGATGTGTTCCGTCAGGTGCAGGTGCAGCGGCACAGCCGGCCGGCCAGCTACGCGGGCGACGCGGAGTGGCGCCGCAGCCGCGCGCCCCCGCGCCCCGAGCGCCCGCCCGCGCCCGCCCAGCAGTACGCTTCTAGCACCAGTCAGTACCGACACTATAGATAGTAGTGAGCTACCTTGCTACCCACGAAGACGCGCCCCATCAATTTTTGGTGTTTTTCATCCGAGCGTCAGTCGCGAAATGATTGTAGTGTGCATGTGCACTTATGGATAATTATAATCATGGACAATAATTTCGCGACTGGCGCTCCGATCAAACTCCCCGCACCCAGCGCTTCCCTCGACCAAAAATTGATGAGGTGCATGTATAAATAAATAGCACCCCCACAAGCGAGCCATTCTGGCTTCGAGGAGATCCTAAGTCCCCTCCTTATGTTGTTTTTATAGAGGGCCCCTGGCCCAGTCAGTTGTGGGTTACGAGTTGCCCGACAGACAACCCCAGCTTGTTTTTTTGTTTATTTGCCGCGAATAATTGCCTTTTATGCCTTCAGTGCTGGACGAGCTGGACAGCGCGCAGATGGACGCGCTGAAGACGCGCTCGCTGCCCGCCTTCCTGCGGCCCAAGCCGCGCCCGCTGTCCACCGAGGACGACCTGCAGCAGCTCTACGCCAAGGTGAGACTCATTCTACTCTTCTTCTACTTCAATCATGATCATTTTCAGCCATAGGACGTATACTGCTAAACATATGCCTCCCCCAATGATTTCCACAATGGCCGGTTGGTGGCGGCCTGCATCCAGCGCCTTCCTGATACTTTTATGAGATCGCCTTGTGAGTTTAATAGTTCCACTTAATAGTTCCAATCAACTGCTGTACATTGTATTCTCCACGTCAAAGCCAATAGAATTTGAGAGCAGCTGACTTCTCTTGGAAATTTTAAGCCCTTTCGTTTTAGAAGTGTGTAAGAGCATAAAAATCTGATATGCCTTTTCTGGGCCAGAAGCTAGGTACACCCATGCTAGGAATCCACAAGTTGCACCCGATTGTTTGGTCATGGGCTAAAACACGTTTGAATCCTTTATGAAGTGCGCCTCAATACATGCAGCATACCGTTGCGTTATTCAATTTCCAATCTCGAAAATATTGTGTTTATTCTTGGCGATTTTCTGTTTGTAGCGATCACGATCAATACGTACCATGATCATGTGACTGTGAATGGTTTGCGTGCGCAGGTAAAATTTTTAAAAGCCTATTTGCAAACAAAAATACTTCAACTTTCAGGTGAACCTAAGCAAGAAGTACAAGAACCGTATGCGCAGCGAGCACGCGGCCATCATAGCGCTGAGCAAGTCGCACAGTCAGTTTTTTGACGCTGACGCCGTCATCGTCTACGACCAACGCACTGCGCTCTAAGCCACGCCTCCTTTGCGCCATTGCTACTGGCAGTCTACATCTGAAATATACTGCTGAACGTAAGTCTAAAAATCACAATAAGTACAGCATGTACAATAAAGACAACACCATCGAATCATATAGTAAGGGTTGACAATAAATAACGGCGATAACTGAACCTAATATGTACTATCCGAACGACAGCAAAGCAGGCTAAACACTGTAGCATCTTATATCAAAGTAATAGATGCTAATTTGCTATAAAAATATACAGTGATGTGCTATTGACTGTACAGAGAATGTCAGTCAGTTAGATTTAATTCCATAATTATAGGCAATAGCACATATTTTAATATACCACACCTGATTATCTTGATGTGTGGTCGAAGAATTAAGGTGTTACGCAGCTCTAGTTTTGGATCGATTAAATGAGTGTGTTCTTAAATCATCTTTCGAAGTCGACCAAACTTAATGTGAATTTGGGTCCCATAACGGTTAATAAATCTATTACATACTATTATAATAAAACCTCATATTTCCAATTGCGCCTACCGTTTGTATCTAAGTTAATAAGTAGTAAATGTTATACAATTTTTACTAAATTCCCGTTTTAGAATAAGATCCCTTTTTGGTGATTTTGTTTCCTCTTTTAAGCCTAGGTACAGCTACCACCGACTTTTAGTCAGCCGATAGTTGGGCCCGATTTTAATTTGTTTTGGCCGATACCGGTGTAGTGTGCGCACTTCCATAAGTACATGTCCATACTAATAATTAACAGCCCGACCCAACTATCGGAAAACTAAAAATCGGTGATCTGCGCCTAGGCTTAAGCCACATATCAATAAAAAAAACTAAAATACTGTTATAATTAAGTCGTGAACGAAACGCACAGAACTCAAATGAAATGCGGTCCTAAAATTTTTAGAATAAGATACTAATTTGAATTGTATTTTAACTTGTTGTCCATTTAGAAATATGTATTTTGTTTACCCAAAAATTGGCTAAAATTTATTGTGATTGCAAATTATGTGATAAAAGTTATAACGAAATTGTGGCATAATCTAACTAGAGTTCGTACAGTCGCGCAAAAACGTAAATAAGTAATTATTTTAGCAAATATTATTAGATCAATTTACAAAAACGTGCGACAATTGCTATTTACAAAATGCCAAAGTTTCATCTTTATGATTTTGATTATGTCGACTGATAGCTAAATTAAAAATTACTTGAATCGTACATTATGATATTTTAGTAGAATTAGAGTAGTTTAGGCGTGATATTGCGATTAGTAATTATTTTAGAGAAGTATTAAATGTAAGTACAAAATTGTTTTAGTCCTTTTCATGTTGTTGTTTGCTCACTAATACTCGTTTGTTCGCGACTGTACACACTGCGCGTGCGCTCATTTTTTGTACAATTTGGTTGGAACACGAAGATTAGCTGATATAGTAAATCAATTTAAATTACCTAGTGGTCATCATATTGTGTATTTCTTGAAAAAAATAAATGAACCACCTATTGTATAGGACCACGAGGAAACAAATCTGATATTCTTTATCTGAGCTGGTTGTAGTTAAATAGCGGGCATTATATCGCTAATTATACATCGTACCTAAGTGTAATTACATATTTTCCTCATATTCTAAGAAATAAATACATCAGTATTCAACGTTATCATAATCTTAACGACACGTGTTTTATCAATATGTACTTGTAGAATTGTTTATGGGAAATAAAGAACTTTGTAACAAAATCTGTGTTCGTTATCTACAATATAAACCACTTTTTACCAAATTAACTTTATTGAATCACCATTACCACCAACCATACAATTAATCTAAGTTAAAACTAGATAGATGGACGGCACAATCATTACGAAACAGCAAACAATAGTAGCTCTATAATACTATATTAAAGTAAATAAAACCTTAAATTGTTAATACATAATATTCATGTTGAACTTCCCACATAACCTTTATTCCAAAAAGCGTAATAAATCATCAGGCCCAGTCCCAGTTTTGTTTATATCCATATTCATGCATGCATGTATGAATTAATTAATTTATCATTGAAGATTCCTAAGATAATAAGACAATATAAAGTTGCATTAAACTTACGCACAGTTTTTGTGGACACAGTTGATCGAGGTCTAGCTCTTGCTAACAACATGGGTGGGACTGGCTGGCTAGCTGACGGCACAGGCGCGGCTAGCTGACGGCATAAGCCCGGCTAGCTGACGGCACCGATACAGCTAGCTGACGGTAGACTCGGCTAGCTGACGGCACAGGGGCGGCTAGCTGATGGCACACACGGTTAGCTGCCGGCACAGGCGCGGCTAGCTGACGGCACAGGCGCGGCTAGCTGACGGCACAGTCGCGGCTAGCTGACGGCACAGGCCCGGCTAGCTGACGTCACAGGCGCGGCTAGCTGACGGCACAGGGGCGGCTAGCTGACGGCACAGGGGCGGCTAGCTGAAGGCACACACGGGTAGCTGACGGCACCGGCCCGGATAGCTGACGGCACAAGCCCAGTTAGCTGACGGCACAGATATAGCTAGCTGACGGCACAGGCCCGTCTAGCTGACGGCACAGGCTCGGCTAGCTGAAGGCACACACGGGTAGCTGACGGCACCGGACCGGATAGCTGACGGCACACGCGGCTAGCTGACGGCACACACGGCTAGCTGACGGCACACGCGGCTAGCTGACGGCACACACTTTTAGCTGACGGCAACGCGAGACTAGCTGAAGGTGCGGAAGCTGGCGAGCGTGGGGTAGGTCTTGAGGCGCAGCAGCTCGAGCTCGGTCTGCAGCAGCACCACGCTGGTGTGGTTGGCCTGCACCTCGCGGATCAGCTGGCTGCGCATCACGAGAGTCTCCATCCTGCAACAGGATACTGTTTTCAACATTCTAATTTTCAGCACGGGGAAAACCCACGCGGACTCGGCTCTTTGCTGTGCCATTAAAGGGACTTATGCCTGTTTTCACCATCAATCCCTAATTTTTAAGTGAAAACAAAATTCTTGTTGTGTGTTACTATAGGGGTCACTTAAAATATAGGGATTGATGGTGAAAATGGCCATAAGATTTTTGACAAACCTTAGCAAGTGGGGGCCGCAATATGGTACAGTCTTGAAATTTTTGTTTATCCCATAAAGTCAACGTTACGAGGGAGAAAATCATGGGAACATCGAGCCTATCCGACCCGTCTGGCCAGGATGGGGAGTGCGTCAAATCCTCCATTTGCCTTTTGTAAATTACGCCCGGTTTCTACCAAGGCGAAATGCAGAAGTGTTTTCAAATTTAATTATTCAAGAAACCAGTAAATCTGATTGGTTTAACACCTCTCCACTCCGTCTTGGTGGAAGCCGAGCCTTAGAGAGGGTCATCCGCCTGCAGTGGAGACTAAAGCCCTTATTCACAAACGTTACTATGAGGTCTCACAGTGCGCATTTCGCATGCACGCACGGGGTGACACACGAACCAATCACAGAGCTCTATTTAACGCTGTGCGTGATCGACTGCATCACTTAATCCTTCGCTCCGCGAATCTAGACACAATAGATAAATCAATTGTTATGACATTAATTACCTTATGCCGTCTGGAACTCAAGCGGTTAAGCAAGCATCAAAATCAAAAATAAAAATCAAAAATCAAAAGTATTTATTCAGTTTAGACCACAAGTGGCACTTATGTGAATACGGGCATCGTTTGTGAATACGGGCGTAAATGAGTATATGAAGATGGTTAGTATAACGACCTGCGCTTGAAGATGCGTCGCACGCGAATGGGCTCGAGCGGGTCCTCGTGCAGCCGCTTCTCCGACACCTTGACGTTGAGCGCCACCACCAGCTTCTCCAGAGCGTTCGCCTGCGCCGTCACCTTGTTCACTTTCACCTGTTACATTCAAACATTTAAGGCTACAAATGATGTCGAATCACTATTAGGCAATTATCACACTGCACCGTGCTCCGCCGCGGTACGCGTGACGACAGATTTAATCATTATATGCAAGTCAAGTACCTCAGTTTGTATAGAAAACACGCGCGGCACAACACACTGACAACGCGTTTGCGCGCGGGATTCGTTAAATGTCGCCACGCGGACCGCGGCGGAGCGCGGTGCAGTGTGATAATCGCCTTAAATTTTAAATTACAAAATAACTAGCTGAAAACTAACTAAATTCTGATCTGCTTACGGAGAACCAACAAAAGTTGAAATAAACGAGTTCTCAAATGGGAAATATACGAGTAGATCTACGACTACAGAAAGATAGCTGGAAGCGGCTATCAGATGAAAAAAGCGGGAGATCGTATTTTGTGACTTTCTTTGGTGGACTACCAACTACTTCATTCAGCTTATGATGGTGATTTAGACAGTTGAAACATTTCGTTTCATGAATCCAACTCCCTAAGAATAAAAATATTGAGGTGTAAAAATCAATCACTTTTTTGTGCTTTCATCCTTCCGAAATAACAATTAATTCAAATAAAAAGTCGATTAGATTTCTTAAGAAAATATTCTCGATTCTAATAAAATGTCGATTAGGTTTAAAAGAAGCGCCTCACTAAATAGAACTGTCATAATCACTTTCTTACGCTGAACGGACTATAATATGAATGACAGCGCTAGGTTACAGAACGGGAGAAAGAGACAGTGAGAGCGGGTTACCTCGAGCTCCTCGACGCGGCGGACCTGTTCAGCCAGCAGCTTGTTGACGGACATCTTGGACGCCTCCATTTCCTTCTCCATGCGCACGTAGTCCTGCTCCTCGGTGTAGCCTAACTCCTTGTTCTTCAAGTACAGCTGAAGCTCTTTCGGGATCTGCAGTGACATAGATACGTGTGAGTGTTACACGATCTATTAAAAAACGGGATTTATCAAAGAAGGGGAAGCGGAACAGAGAAGCGGAGTGGGAACAGAGCAAGAAAGCGTGGTTGAAAAATCAAATGACTCGTTGCGTGCTCGCGGTCTCGCGTTCTTGCGTATCCGGAAAAACAATCCACAAGGAGCACAGAGCAGCCGTATATTTTCTTGCTTCGCCCCGGTATCATTCTCCGAGTGTATGGACAGACGTTGTCCTCGAGTCCAATCCAAATTATTCCCTTACTTCGTTCTACTATAGTCTGGTCGCACACTCACTGCGGGCGCCCGTCGCACAGTCGCGACAGCAGTATAATTACGCGCGAGCGATAAGGATGGGTAGCTTGGGGTCATTGGACAAAATTCTACGTGCTCACAGACCAGGCTTTACCTATCAACACTTCGTAGCCTACCTTGAGCCGCTGGTAGGAGTAGAGCTCTTGCGTCATGTGGCGCAGCTTCATCTTGGCCTGCGCGTGCTGCCACTCCGTGGACAGTATGCCTTTGCGGAAATCCATCTGCTTGCGCATCATGCGTAGCTTCATTTCGCCCACTTTCTGTTTACATGAAGAAAATTAGACTAAGAGCTAGTGAACGCCAGACCTACGTCATTTTATAAAAGCTGAAAGTTTGTCAGCGTATACTAATTAAATCTGATTTTTATGTATAATATTTGGAAAATAATTAGAAGTATTTTCCCCAACAGCCAGACAGTTTTGACAGTTCCAATTCCTTGCCAGACAGTTTTTTTGGGGTAGCTTCCAAAGCCACGATGACGCAAACTTCATAAGGCCTCAGCCTCGAACTTAGCGGTCAGCGGGGCGGGAGCGGCGGCGGCGCGGGAGCGGGGCGGGCAACGCAGACCCGTTCTCGAAACAAGCGGGCAGCTCGCGCGGCGCTTTAGCGGCGAAGTGTTGTGTTCGGGGTTGTGTTGTCGAGATATTTATTTTTATTCGCAAACAAAATGTCTGAACAACGGCGTCAATTTTATTTCGATTCAAATTTATTCCTAACGCTCGATTTATTGTGGGCAAAAGAAGGAGTGCACTGCCCGCTCGTTGCCCGCTCCCTCGCCGCTGCCCGCTCGTTGCCCGCTGCCGCCCCGCTGCCGCGCCGCTGTTTTCGAGAACCGGTCTATTTGATTTTACGCATAAGATCCTGCCGCTCCCGCGCCGCCGCCGCCGCCGCCCCGCTGCCCGCTAAGTTCGAGGCTGAGGCCTTATTCACCAACATTATATCCTATATTGGGAGCATACGCTGACATACTTTCAGCTTTTATAAAATGACGTAGGTCTGGCGTTCACTAGCTCTTACTCTAAATGTTGAGGTATTTTCATCGATACAACTGTCACTAGATCACGCCCATTAGGCCTAGGATGTGCGCCGTGATAAGCGATTATCACGCCATTTTATCGATTTTGCCCATACATTTTGAAGTCGCTAAAGTATATAACGGCGTGCATCCTAGCTCGGCAGTTTATTTATTTATTTATATTAGGGAAACAAACAATTTTGATACAGACAATCACACAAAAAATAGGACAGAAATCAGCAAAGTTTCCACAGTTGATTTGATTATAAACCCCCGGACAAACTGTATTACCAGAATGACGTTGTTGATTTTCTCGATGTCCTCTTTGAGTATGAGGGTGGCGTCCTCGAAGTCCTCCATGTGGCCCGTGGTCATGATCTCCACCTGCCCCGCCGGTAGCACCAACTACACACATCAACATGATTAAAAATACATAGGTATTTTCACAATAACAACTAAGGGCTACTGAAAAAAATGGACAAAAAAAGTATGCGAAAAAAAGACAGAAATAGCACAGAAATATTACAAGGAAATAAAAAGTGAACTGAGCAGTGCCACCCTGTTGCAATAGCGATGCCCATCGCAATGGGACTCCACTCAGCATATGCCGTGGCCCACGGTGGGGAAGGCCACGACGCTGGTTTTCAGTGTGCTAGACGTATAGCTAAACGAGCCAAGTCGCTCTCGTCGCGTTTCCGCGGTGTCAAGTGTTGACGCGATGAAAGTCCCTGTCTTCGTAAAAATATCGACAACAGGCGGAACACGAGTCAAACGCTCGAAGTGCGCTCGTTCAAGGCTCGTCAATTTGTCCACACTACACAATTTTGGCTCGGCCGTGCTCCGCTCGTTCACGACTCGTCTAGCGTAGAACCACTATAAAACTTTACTCTTTGCTGCCGGCTGCCAGTTACCGAATGTGCATTACATATTATATCGATCTTACCTACAATAAATTAATAGTTTAAAAAACTAAAAACACGTTTTTAATTACTGCACAAAAAGGCCAATAAAGTTCTCGAAAAGACAAATCCAATGAACCCGAACTCGATGCGATTCCGCAGTTTCGTTTAAGAGTTCCTATGACCACCTTCCAGTCCCATCGTCAGACCAGCTTGATGGTACCATAATATTGTATTGTCATGAGAGGTGGAATTTTGTAAAGCAATCGTAATCATTTGACAGTTCATAACGTACGATAAAGTCAGTTAAACAAAGCGTTTGACAGAAGAATAATCGTACGTTATGAACTGTCAAATGATTACCATTGCTTTACACAATTCCACCTCTGATCTTACACGACGACTAATAAAAGCGTGTTAAAAAGTGTATAGTGATCTCGCACCTGAATGGTCTTGTTCCTCGCTAACAGCTCCTGGGTCTCGCGGTGCTGCACGATGAGGTCTGCGGTGCTGGCCAGGTGGCCGCGGCGCGCCTGGATGGCCTTCTGCCAGCCCGTCTGCGCGCTCTCCACGAACGCTGTCTCTTGCACTAGCGCGCGCATCTGGTGGAATAACTCGAGGGTAAAATCAGGCCTGTTCATCTCCGCGAGTTTACATCGAAAACAAAACACGCACGATGGCCCACCTACAGGATACTATTCGACAAGGCCTCACATACGAGCGAACATTGACTCACGCACGCGTATTCTTGTGTATGATGGAAGAAAATAAAGAAAATGGTGTAGTAAATACTGTGCAGTATTCAACTGCCTAAATAATAATAAAAACACAGAATGTACTTTTTAAGTTGCCTCCTCCTGCCTGAGAGGTAAAAATAAATAGTTAATATTATTCACGATAATTCATGCTAAATCATGTATAATTCCTCCGCCATTTTCCGCAGTTTGGCACCTCACGTCACATCATTTTACCGAAGTCAGCCCTATATAGCTTCGGCGCAGTGCCGATCACTGACGTTTGTCAACAAAATGGTGCTTGACTCTTGAGACAGGCTAAATTACACCATATTGTTAATGACATTGAGCATACATTTTTTTAAATACCTTCGCGAAGTAAAACTTCTGTACGTAGTACTTATTATTATTCTGTGGTAAAACAAAGAATACAAGGTGGACCGACGACATCGTAAAGGTAGCAGGGAAGCGCTGGACGCAGGCCGCTACCAATCGATCAACATGGAAAGCATTGGGGGAGGCCTATGTTCAGCAGTGGACGTCCTATGGCTGAAATGTTGATGATGATGATGATGATGAAAATAAAGAAAGAAGAGGTTCCGAAATGTTTCCAAATATCAACAGGTGAAGATTCAGAAAATTCAACTTTTAGGCTTATATCTTCTATTCCGGGTGTTACAATGCAACGAACGCACGCATTTACGCAGCTTGCACATAAAGACGCGCGCGCGTGTACGCATACTTACAGTGATAATACGGGACTTAAAAGCCTATTTGCAGAAAATAAAAATGACTCTTGGTTTTTACATATCCCAGTATTAGGCCGAGTCCGCAATACGGCTAAATCACCGCGGTTTTTAGCCAAGTAAAACTAATGCAAGCGTCCACACTGTGGCTTTTTCCCGCGTATACGTTTCGGGAGGGCTCGCGGTTTGGCGGTTTACCGCTTGTGGGAAAAAACAGTAGTGCGGACTCAAGCTTTACGGAGAACAACCGTGGGCCTCTCAGGCATGGTGTATGCTCACCCGTATCTCGTTTTCGATCTTGGCGCGGCGCAGCTTGCACATGGTGGCCCACAGCGCCTCGTCCATCACCGGCGGCATGTTGCTGATCAGGTCCAGCTGCTCCACGCTGCGGGACCAAAGTGTTGACGTCATATCGAGACATGTGCGGACCGTGCGACAAGATTTCTTTAATTTTTAACTTAAAGGGATACTCTTTACGGAATTTAATTTTTTAAATAACAATTATAGCAATCCTTCGGATTCGCCACGATAGTCAAACGGTGAGGGGGATTGAACTATCGATTCTCGAATCGTTTAGATACCGACACCATTAGGCTATTGTCGGCTTCAGCCACAGGACGACCACTGCTGAATATTTGCAATATAAATAAATTGTAATGTTATAATAATGTATAGTGTATACGCCTGAAAAGGTAGAACTAAGAGATGCCTGTAACCTATTTATAAGAACCCTTGTAACCTTTGTTCATACACAATAAAGACTTTATTTACTTTACTTTATTTATTTACTTAAAGAATACATGCCTCCCCCAATGACTCCAGATTGACCCGTCGCGTTGGTAGTGTCCTGCATCCAGCCCCTTCCTTCTTTTATGAGCCATTATGAGGTGGTCTGCTGTACCAGACATTTGTGTTTACTCCAAAGCAATGTAACTTTACCCTTTGTAATACTCCACGCAGTCAGGGTGCATGTGCACGGGCCGATGCGACGCCAGGACGCTAGCCGCCAACTCGTGCAGCGCGGCCGCTGTGGTTGTGGCGCGCTGGTGCCACTTGGGCCGCTTCCTGTGTTCATCATCAAACGAATCACTTATGAAATGCAATAATATTGTTGAGTATTGAATTCATTATTTATCTAAAGATAATGAGAATAAAAAGTGGTAATTAAGAATTAATAATTTAGGGAGTTATCTCATACTACTGCAACTGTATACGGGACTCACTTTTCCACCACTGCAACTCCTTTATAACCAGGATGTACTACTGGAAACCCAACCAGTGAAGGTTGATTAGTCCCGAGGTATAGCTAGCCATCTTGGAAACCGCGAGAAGAATATAGGAGTTTTCAAAATGTATAATCGACTTCCCTCCGTTGCAAAGCTTAAGCATGTGGAAAAAGTACATAAACAAGTGTCCAATGACGTCCTAACCTAAAGAATGGCTTGCCACAGATGCTTCGACGTATAGATAGAGTACCACACTCACTTGAACACTTTGTAGCACTGGTCGACGATGATGGGCGAGAGATCCGCGAAGTGGTTCTTGAAGGAGCGCTCCATGTACTTGTCCTTGGCCGCCAGCGCGTCATACGCCGCCTGGCACTCCGCGCTCTATTCTGAATATCGGCTAGTTCCTGCTGGAAAACCTTCCACTTCGACATACAAATGTAACCGCACTCACTTGAACACCTTGTAGCACTGGTCGACGATGATTGGCGAGAGATCCGCGAAGTGGTTCTTGAAGGAGCGCTCCATGTACTTGTCTTTGGCGGCCAGCGCGTCGTAGGCCGCCTGGCACTCCGCGCTTTGCGTCTGGATATCGGCTAACTCTTGCTGGAGCGTTTCCACTTCCGCCTCGTACTTGGCTATATCCGCACTGGAAGTGGAGATAGGTCTACTGTTTAGTGGATCTTCACTATACAGTTTTCTGAATTTTAACCACTTTTTTTCTGACTACGCTACAGGTCTTGCACCTCATTGAGTCAGTACCTGAGATATGAGAGAAGTACAGGACGGGTGACATAATATGACATGACAGAGCATACAAGTCAAAAGCACATGAAACTCACTGACATTTGATGTCACAAAAACACCCACTCTTGTCATCCACCCTTTTTTTTTTGGAGAAAAAATGCATTAAATTGCATACCTACCCTGCGGGGACAGGGTAGATTATGTGGGGCTCACCAAGTCATAAGGACAAAGGCATATCCACTAAAAGACATCGGTGCTCCGTCATTCGCCTTAAGTGGGAAGGAACTGAGGGATTCCGGACAAAGCCTTCACTACCAGTCCCTCCCGGCACACGGTGGGCTGATATTAGAGCTTCATAGACTTAGCGTCGCTCAAAAATCAAGTGCCGAATTTTGAAAAAATAAATATGCCAATGTGTTCCTTTACCAAAAAGGAATATTTTATGTTATGTAACGTTTCTTGATAAAGTTATTATTTAATAAGTTATTGACAATTTCCTTTTTTTTTGTATGGAGCTCAACATTTATTTTTATTTTATTCGTTATTCTCAAGCTTTCTTAAGAAATTAACTTTTGTATTATGTAATGCAACATATAAGCTATGTTATCACCAAGTGTCGCATTTCGGAAATCTTCGGAACATTGTCATTTTGGACTTTAAAATAAAAAAAAATAAAAAAATTAAATAACTGCCAAATTTTGTAAATATAACTACGCCAATGTGTTCCTTTGCCAAAAAGAAATATTTTATGTTATGTAACTTTTTTTGATAAAGTTATTATTTAATAAGTTATTGACAATAATTACTTTTTTTTTGTATGGAGCTCAACATTTATTTTTATTTTATTCGTTATTCTTAAGCTTTCTTAAGAAATTGCTTTTTGTATTATGTAATGCATCATATAAGCTATATTATCACCAAGGGATGAATCCCGGAAACCCTCGGAACATTGTCATTTTCGACTTTAAAATAAAATAAAAAAAACGAAAAAAAAAATTACTGCAATGTTATGTACTTTCTTCCGTACTACCCTAACGAGGTGAAGAACTAAGCACGTTTTTTTATAGTGGTGTTTCCAGGAGGCCTAATTCACTTGTAAGATTATTAAAATATGTTTTATGGAAATTAAGCCAGTGTGAAGTTAAGTTTATTGGTTATTCAGAGTCAGTTTCTGAACCGTGAAATAGGCTAATGTCCACAAAAGTAAAGCTTTCTTTCAGTATCAGTATCAGCCTCATCATCAAATCGATCATTTATTAATTAACTTTTTGCTGCTGTTGATAAAACTTTGTGTTTTCTATGAAGTTTATATTATTAATTATCTATATCTGAGAATCAGATTTTAAAAATAAATTGTGTAAAATATCTTCATTAGTTGCTCTCCTACAAAATTCGAGCGTGGTGTAGTACTTTCTGATTGGAAGTAAATATCTTTTCCGTGAGCAATAATTTTGTATGCTTGCAGGCATGTACGTATGTAGAGCTTCATGTACGTAGTATAGTTTGGTCTGCGAAACAAAATTTGCGAAAATGATGATTCTAGCGTTTTAGGGCAACTTGTAAGTGCCTAAATGAACGTTCGGTTTGATGTCTCCAGATAAAATGGATACGGGAAAATAAGGTTTCTAGCTCCACTTTTTACTATCGACTCATTTCTTTTTCAAATTTATGAAGGAGACCCATTTTTTTTTATTCAAAATAAGCTGCATTTAATTTATTGTCGACCTATTTTAATGTTAACAATGAAAAAAACTTAATGGACGCGGAAATTGAAAATTTAATAGATCGTAATAAAATTCTGGAAGCAAAACAATCTCGTAATAACTGATTCTCACTTGATAGATAGAAAAATAATATCGTTGATAAATGGCAGCTCTGCACAAGCAGCGATGTGATATTTGTAAAGCCATATCAACAGAAATGAATAATTTAGACGTAATTGCCATCAAGAAAGGTTTTCAACACCACCAAAAAGTCCACTATAAATGATCAATTTCATGTCTAGGCTGATACTGAGAAAGAAAACTTTACTTTTGTAGATTCAGAAAGTGGCGCTTGAGTCTAACCAATAAATTTAACTTCAAACTGGCTTAATTTCCATAAAACAAATATTATATGTATTATAGTAACCTTAGTAATCATGTGGATTAGGCCTCCTGGGAACACCACTATAAAAAACGTGCTTAGTTCTTCACCTCGTTAGAATAGTACGGAAGAAAGTACATAACATTGCAGTTTTCTTTTTTTTTTTTTTTTATTTTAAAGTCGAAAATGACAATGTTCCGAGGGTTTCCGGGATTCGTCCCTTGGTGATAATATAGCTTATATGATGCATTACATAATACAAAAAGCAATTTCTTAAGAAAGCTTAAGAATAACGAATAAAATAAAAATAAATGTTGAGCTCCATACAAAAAAAAAGGAAATTGTCAATAACTTATTAAATAATAACTTTATCAAGAAACGTTACATAACATAAAATATTCCTTTTTGGTAAAGGAACACATTGGCATATTTATTTTTTCAAAATTCGGCACTTGATTTTTGAGCGACGCTAAGTCTATGAAGCTCTAATATCAGCCCACCGTGCGGCAGCTAGGAGGACACAGCTGTTCCCGTCTGACGGTGGTGGTAGCCTGTGCTATGCAGGCGGGGGCGCCCACGTGCCCAAAGCCCGCTAGCCATCACCGAGGAGAGGCGATCATACTGTCGCCTCCTCTGACCCCTCCGCCATCGCCGGAGCGAGGGCGTGTTTGGATCATTTTCGCGCTCTCACTCCGCGGCCTCCTTCTGCTTGTCACCCACCCATGGCATAACTATAAAGAATCTCACTCGACAGCGGTGATAACCTGATGTGTGAAGTGACATGACTACATCGAGTGACAGCACCTTCTGTCTGCCACCACCACTGTCGCAATGAGGGCTATCGTTTTTATACTTAACAGTTGGCACCTCTGGCGATTGACAGGACCTTACTCTACAGTGGCGCCATCTTGATGAGTGCAAATGCGATAGTCCTCCTACCACTTTAGCGCTCACCAGTTGGTGCCACTGTCTTCGCTACTAGCAAGTGACAGGACCTTACTCTACAGTGGCGCTAACTGGTGAGCGCTAAAACGATAGCCCTCATTAAAATTGGTTATCTATCAAAATGAAATAGAGCTCATTATAGTGCGCTCACCGCATGTCCTCGAGGCGCTCGGCGGCCTCGACGCGGTCGAGGTTGGCGCGTCGCAGGCGCATGAGGCTGAGGTTCTCTTGCCCGATCACCGAGTCCACCTGCAGCTTCGTCAGCCACATCTCCTTCACCTGCCGGGAATCACACCTATGTAGACGAAAATTAACAAGACAGGCGACTATCACACTGCGCCGCGCTCCACCGCGGTACGCGAGACGACAGTTTTAATCATTGTATGCAAGTTCCTCAGTTTGTATAGAAAACACGCGCGGCACAACACACTGACCACGCGTCTGCGCACGGGATTTTTTATATGAAATCACGCGGACCGCGGTGCAGTGTGATAATCGTCACAGAGTAGCCATGGTGTCGGCGTCATAATAGCGGTTTGATAGGACTATTGTATTGACCGCATTTCTTTCGAGCTACATCTCTCTCTATTTACCGTTACATCATCATCATTTCAGCCATATTAAATCCACAGCTGGCCCACCACATAGGCTTCCCCCAATGATTTCCACATCACCCGGTTGGTAGTGTTGCGCATCCAGCGCCTTCCTGGCTATTACGTAAATTAGTTCAGAAATGAAGTTCTCGAGTGGCAACCACGTGTCGTAAAACGTAATGTAGGTAGGCCTCCCACTAGGTGGACCGGCGATCTGGTGGAGACCGCGGCAAGTACCTGGCCGTATGCGGCCAACGCAATGCCGGTCGTTATGGAAATATCTCGGGAAGTTTTGTTCAGCAGTGGACGCATTTGGATGAAACGAACGAACGAATGAAGGTATTAGTAAAGTCCAGTCAGAATTTCGTCCAATGATCCCAAGCTACCCATCCTTATCATTCACGCGTAATTCGAATGTGTCGCGACTGTGCGATGGGCGGCCGCAGTGAGTGTGCGAGCGCGACAGCAATATAATTACACGCGATAAGGATGGGCTTGGGGTCATTGGACGAAATTCTATCTGCTCGGCGACTGGATTTTAGTGAGGCACCGGTCTGTGCGGTCCAACGACCAGCTTGGCGTACTCGGCTGCAGCATCGTGCGGTACTTGAGTACGTATATTAGTAGTATACATGGCACCGACCCGCTGGTTGAACTTGACGACGCCCTCGTTGAGGACCTGCGCCAGCTTGGCATACTCGGCTGCAGCATCGTGCGGTACTTGAGTACGTATATTAGTAGTATACATGGCACCGACCCGCTGGTTGAACTTGACGACGCCCTCGTTGAGGACCTGCGCCAGCTTGGCGTACTCGGCGTGCAGCATCTTGCGGTACTTGTCGCGCTCGTCGTTGCGGAAGCGCACCTTGGCCTCGTAGTCGAACACCAGCCGCAGGTCGTCCTCGTTGAAGTGCTCCGGGTCTTTGTCCAGCTGGAACGCAATGGGAATGAGGTGTCTTAAGTAAATAACTATTGGAAGGACCACTGCAAACCATTCTTTCCGTGGTTGTAAAAGATAGGACTAAGCAGTTGGATCACGGCACTTTCTTACAGCCTATATGCCTGACAGGGCGACGTATCATGGCGTCGCACTGGACGCCGACTCAAGACAAAATAAGTTTTACAATGAAAATCTTGAAAAATTTTCTTCGCTCGCTGCAAAACGAAACTTTTTAGATCGGCTTATCTGATTCAGACTCGTAACCTCAGCAGCGAAACTAATTTACATACAAGAATAATAAACTGTGCCTTGTTCTGCCGGGCTAGGACATGGCGCGTACATGATAAAATCTTATCGACGATCGCCGATTTTATAGACGACAAATGTATGGGCTTATCGTGCAACATCGATAAAATGGCTTGATAAAAGTTTATCGTGGCGCGCAGACTAGGCCTTTAGGCCGCACATTTGACAGAAATGTCGCCGCTGATCTTCTAGAAAGCAAGTTATTGCATATAAATCGGAGCAATCTGCCCTTTTTAGTAATTTGTAAGCAATAGTTTAGTTTAGTTTTGTGTTAATATTGTTTTCTTTTTTTGTTTTGTTTTTTTTCTCTCTCTTTTTTGTGATCACCGTCCATAACGCCCCCTGTTGCGCGCCTTCTTGACTGGTAGCCTCAATATGGTCCCGGTCAAGAGGGCGCGCAATCCGCAATCTTCGTGTTGGTTCCCGCTGAAAACCAGCTTCTCGACATGGCGCTTGTTATAACGCGAATATAGCTGAGCGGACGCCTCTTCAGCATAGCTTGTAGTTTAATGTTATATGTACTGTATTTTTATTTTATTTTTCTATGCTGAATAAAGTATTCTTATTCTTATTCAATAACTTGTATTGGCGGAAGATCCGCGACGTCATTTCCGTCAAGTGTGGCGCGCATCCTGTCTAATGGTGTTCCGTACCATGCACTGCGGCATGGGGATGGGCTTCTTGATCTCCTCGTGCCAGAGCTTCTCCAGCACGCCGTCCATCATGTCCATGAGCGCGCGCTCGCGGAAGTCGTCCTTGGGCCCCGGGTCCGGCGGGATGACCACGATCTGGCTCGGGCTGATGTACGGCTCGATGCTGCACTAAGATGAAAAAAAAATATTTAAATTCTAGACATCATCAGATAGCTCACCAGCTCCTAAATACACTACTAAGGCTAAGTTGCACCACCTAACTACCTATATTAACCGGTGTTTTTTGTATGCAGTTTTATAGATTTTTGACGTTTGTTAAAGTAAGATGGAACAATCCAGCCTAAGAGCATCGTTCACCATTTCTGAGTAAAGTGTTAAGTACGGTACTCGTTGCTTAAAGTCATGACTGAGTAGCAACAAAACCATGACACTGACAAGCTTTGACACCCTAGCGTTTTACTCAGACATCGTGAAACATGAAATCGTGAGGCCCTAAAACAGTTGTCAACATTTACAAGTCTTTTCTTTAGTTACGCAAACCTGAGAACAACATGCATATTAGTCTATGCGAGTTCTCTTATATACCCCATTGAAAATGTTGCCAAGTTTAAAATATTTCTTCCATACTTTAAAATTAATTTGTCAACAAAAGTACTCACTTCTTCTGGTTCGACTTTGATCAGTTTCGACGGCTGCTCCTCCTGCCGCCACTGCGGGTCCTTGATCTCGATGATGAGGTGGTGGAAGCTGCCGCGGAGGTCCGACAGCTTGTTTAGCTCTATAAACAATCATTTTAATTTTACTCTTGGTGAATGTGGATTGTGGTAAGAGCCTGGATGCAGGCAGGCAGGACCGTTCATTGTGGAAAACCTTGAGGAGGCCTTTGTCCAGCAGTGGACGTCATTTGGTTGAAACGAACGAACGATACTCTTAGATTGGTAAGAAAAGAGTCTCTTTACTCACAAAATGGACAGACGACAACAGTTTAAGCTAAACCCTGTGGTAGCATGTAATAAGTGAGTTTTTTTTTTATTTTACAAAAAAAAAAGTCGTAAAGTGTTAACTGTAAGTCACTGTCTAACCAAGAGGCAAGATGATGCATCACAAAAATATTACGTGACATTGACAAACATATGAGTGCGAGAGGGCAAGATGATGCATCACAACAATATAACTACGTGACATTGCAAAAATATGTGCGAGTGACATAAATCAAACAAAAATGTGCGACTATCTACCCTCTGGATCACTATTAGCTGTCTACCCTACAGACAGGTGGAATAACCATCGATAATAAACCGCAGGCGTGCGTTCCTTTCCTCCACGAGGCCCACCTCCCGCTTCTTGAGGTTCATGAGCTCGTCGAACTGCTTGTTGAACCACAGCCGCATGTTCTGGACGTTCAGCTGGAAGATTTCTTCTGACATGAATAAACTCTACCATATTATTGAATGTTTTGATTAAATATAAAAAAGTATCAAGTGCAAGTTATGACGTGTGATGATAGGAGTAAATGTATTGATTGAAAGAACAGTTACAAGTTGGTACTATTTAGGGCCTCCGCTAAACTCGTACGGGCACACCGCACGCGTATCTGTATGAAAAAATAGTATGCACCCGCGCAAGTTTTAGCATAGGCCCTTAGGATCGCTGTCTGACAGTCAGCGATCGCGCTGGTTGCTGGACAGTTCTCGTACATTTAACATCAAACCGTAACCGCATGGTTTCCGCCTCAGTGCATTCCATAAGAACTACCCAGAAATCGCGCGGTTATCGCACGTCTGCACTGCACCAGAATGCTGCTGCCTAGAATGTTCGCCACGACAAACTTTTATCGATTACGCGCGATAAGCCTATACATTTGTCGTCTAAAATCATCGATAACATTCTATCGTGGCGTGCATCTTTGGCCTGCTGTCTTCATAGAGGTGTCACCTTGGCGAGGTGCTGTATCCAGCCCATCTGCAGGAAGCTGAAGGCGAGCGTCTGCGGCACGCTGTAAGCGGGCACGGGCACCACAGTAAATAAATCAAACAGTACGGAAGCTTCATACAAACGCTCGAAATCAGACTCACGCACACAGACGCACGCTTTACACGAGCTCTAAGCGAACCTCGCAGTCCATCCGTCGCGAGTGTCGCGCGCGTTGCGTTTTTAATAATAATTTTATTGCATCCACTGTCCGCTGTATTTTTAAAAACATGTCACGAGTGTATTGCGTAGTATACGGCTACTTTAACTCGGCATCTTCAAAACCAGAACTTTCATTTTTTAAACTTCCTAATGATTCTGTACGAGCGATAAATCCGAAGATTCGTAAATTCTACTCACACAGCGGTTGCGGGGTAATATTCACCATAGGTCGTGGTATTTTTATACTTCAGAAAAGAGATCAAAGAAAGGGAAGATTGCTGCTTTCNTACCTCCGTTTATTTATAAAATTATAATATGGTAGGAAAACAAGTTATCTGGATTACAGCGGCAACGCATTGCGTTGCCGAATGTATAAAAGTTATTATTATATATTATTATTATGTAGGAAATTAGTAAGAACAGCGTAGAAATAGCGTACCTATTTACGGGAATATAAATGTAGGTATTAAGCGGGAAATATCGGCAAATAGGTGAATAACTTACAGCCTATTTGTCCGTTATAATTTATGATTATAATGAGTATGTGGCGTAAAGACGCGCAGAATATATGAAATTGGAGAACGAAATATTGCAAAAATTTTAATGATTTTGAAAATTACTAGAACGTACGGCTCAAAGACCATATAATTGTACGTCCGGCTCGAAGACCATAAAATTGTGTACGAGCGATAAATCCAAAGATTCGTAAATTCTACTCACACAGCGATTGCGGGGTAATATTCACCATTTATAATAAATTACCTGATAAGTTCAAAGATCTACCTTTGCTGTCTTTTAAAAGACAAATACACGCCTGGCTATTAACTAAGTGCTATTATTCAGTCAGGGAATACCTCGACGAACAATAGAATTTTAATCAGACTAACGAACAACAATTAATTTTTATTTATATAGATGACATATTTGATTTGATTTGATAATTTTTGTAAGGAATATTTTAATTGGCGACATTGATAGCAATAGGTACTATTAATTTAATTTTACATTGACATTTTTTTATTCATTTGACATTTATATTATTGAATCCTATAATTTTTGCATGTCTGCGATCAGACTAAACACATGATCCTATTTTAATATTGTCACCCTGTATTACTGTGTTTTTAGCAAATAAACGTTTTGAATTTAGGTCGTGGTATTTTTATACTTCAGAAAAGAGATCAAAGAAAGGGAAGATTGCTGCTTTCTACTACTACGAACAAACAGCGCACTCACCCGTTCTGCAATCCACCAGCACCAGCAGTTTCAGGGGGGCGAACCGCGGTTCCCAATCTCTTGTCTGCCCTCGAAGATGGAAGATGATGAAGGACCAGCCTTGACTCCGTAGATCAAGACAGCGGGTGCATATAACGAGCACTTTACAAACACGCAATATTTCAGTTCTCAGCGTCGGCTGAACAGTTCCAGCTTATAGTACAGTACAGCGGTGTGGACTTCAACGATAGAAGGTTCCAGCAAGGAGAGGCGGTAACTCCGATGCGGCGCGACGGCGTCCGGAGTGAGCCACGTCAATTCGTAGACTAGTGTAGAAAGCAGCGAATAATAGCGGAGTAAAATTATTAGACAGAAGCGGGTAGGTAGGAAAAAAGAAAAAATATGAATGCCCACATTGGGCATGAACATCTACATCAATGTAATTTACTTTAGTAGCTAGTTGATCTTAGTAGTACTATTTTGCTACGAAAATGTACCTATAGTCTGATATTGTGTGGTTAATTAAACACAGTCAATAGATAAATTCACGTGTATTGCTTATAGTCAAGAAACATACCAAGAAAAGGCTAGCGTGCGCAATACTCGTTGCTTCGACTGATAAGCGCCATTAGGATTCCGCGCCGTTGCAACTACGATATCTCACTGTACAGATAATGCATGAAACCCAAAGCATTTAACCGTTTAGCGGAAAACTGCTGAACTTATAAATAAACCGCAGCAACTCGGAAAAGAAATATTTACTTTTTTATCACAACGAGGAAGCTCTGCTAGGATACGCAACGTGATATACTTTATCGACGTCAAAATGTATGGGCAAAATCGATGAAATGGCGTGAGAACTGCTTATCGAGACGCGCATCCTAGGATCCTGCTGATGGAAAGTGATGATGATCAAGCCAAAGCAAAGGTAGAAGCAAGCCTTACCCGGAATCCTTTACTGCAGAGGAACTGGCTTTCTCACCTTCAACTGCTGAAACATTATTGTTATGGCGACAGAATTAGGTAAGATAGTGGTAGCTAAAGCCTGGTCCGTGAGCACGTAGAATCCCGTCCAATGACCCCAAGCTACCCATCCTTATCGCTAGCGCGTAATTATATTGCTGTCGCGACTGTGCGACAGCTTGGGGTCATTGGACGGGATTCTACGTGCTCACGGACCAGGCTTTAGCAAAGCTGACTTGAAATGAGACCACAGAGGTGGATTCACAAATCATCATCCAGTCATTTAGTCTACACTGCAGGAGCACGACCCTCTCTTATTTACCAGACGCAAATGGTTGTAACTTGCTTCTGAATGTATTGTAACTTCCTAGTGTTTTATATTTTTAAACCGGCAGACATTGGTGACTCAGTTTGTTGCGGCGCTTCTTCTCAGCACTTGCTAAATGTTTGTCTCATCATGTAGGGCAAAAAAAGAATGAGACATGTATTGTATAGGCTCCTTAAGAGCATTTGGCGATTTTTAAGTATTTAATTAGTCTATACAAATGAAGATAATTTTGATTTCAATTTTAAATCGTTACACATAAAATCCCGAATCTGAGATGTTCAGTGAAATTCGAAACAAACCATGCAAAGGAATCTATTTAATCGCTTCAGTAAATCCTGTACCATACTTAAGTAGAAATAACAAATCCTTCAACGAAATATTTTGTGAGTATGTACAGTCACGGAATGAAAAGGTTCGTCAGTTTTCAAATTGATTCCTTCAACGAATCGCGAGCACATATTACCTTTTGAAACTATGTTACAGAATAATCTCGAGTTAGAGAAAATAATCTTTAACTGTTCGTCAGTAAAGTTCAAAATTATTCAGATCANAAGGCGGAAAAGAATGTATTAGTAGATAAGTCAGTTGCAATTTCCACGTGAACTGCTCTTGTGACCAAGCACGCAAAAATACACAAATAGCATTTCATTGAGCGAACTCCACGTTTTCTATGTGGAACAAAGTTTAAAGGACCACAATAGTCCACAGCGGTGTGCGTAAACGCTTTGGTTTCATTTACCCGAGAAGCGGGCAAATCAGCCATAATTGGAAAGGTAGGCTTTGGATTTAACTTAAAGCAGAAATTGCATTTATGAATGCAAGTTCGCACGATTCTTCTACAGGAGAGAATCCAGTATCTCTGTCGCAGAATAGACATAAGCGCCACGGAACCAGTGTGACAGTTATCACGATGATAATGGTTAATGATGAGCTCGACTACGTGACCCTTACGAGGCAAAAGTACAGGGTGTCTTTGCTCATAGGATAGGTCAGCGTTACGCAGTCGGCCGCCAACGCGGATAAGTCCGTTGTCGTCCAGAAAAGGAGCGAGACGCATTATAGCGGGTGAACAAGGTTTGTTACTCTTCAGAGCATTTAGTTCATTTTGAAAGTAAAACGACTGAACTGCCTTTAGAATTTCAGTTTCAGCCTTTAGAATGTCAGAGGCAGAAATGGCCTTATCAGAAAGCGGAAGTGTCTTCACAAATCGAAGACAATATACAATTGAGCGGAGCAAAACGAGCCACGAGGAAACTCGCTCGGACAATAAAAGAAGCGGATGTGACTTTGGGGAGTCTTCAGAAACTGCCGCCAGCACTACCTTTGTTTCGGGCAAATCTGAGGGAAGAGAATCAGCGGGAATGGCAGAAATTGGCCATTCAGTGATGTTGTTACAAAGCCATGAGGGGCCAGTGAACCATTCAGTATGGTCCAGAATTTGTGCAGGAGACAAACCACGCGACAAGCAATCGCTAATGTTTTGGTTTCCTGGCACATGATAAAAATGATGAGCGGGAAGCGAATTTAATATTTTTGTTACGCGAGTAGCGATAAAAGTTTTAAAATTTATGCGGTGAACCGTGAACCCAATGAAGAGCGACCATAGAGTCGGAAAGACAAAATATTTGACTGATATTATGTCGCGGCTGTATTATGTTAATAATATTTCGAACAAGCTTCGACATCAGAAGAATGCCGCAGAGCTCAAGTCTCGCCACGGATTGAGTTTGAAGCGGGGCTACCTTGGATTTAGCACACACGAGCTTAACGAGAGGAGCGCGAGCATCGTGTGACGCGTCTTCAGAGCGTATATACAGTGTGAGTCACGTTAAAGTGTACATATGAAAATAGATGAAACTAGACCTATTTTTATCGACAAAAAAGAGGTCCAAAAATTTTTGCGATTTTTTTTTTAATTTTTTATAGAATTTTTTTTCTTCCAATTACTTATTGTAAAGAAAACGTAATAACTTTTAAACTAAGGGGTATATCCTGATAAAATAAAAACTGTAATAATGCTAAATAACAGGCGATACTAAAAAAATACATAAAATACACAAAAAAGGCCAACAAATAATAAAAAATGATATTTTTTGAAAAAAATCTGCTTTTAAATTCGTGTTTTTTTGGTTATTTGATAAATTTCTCCAAAAAATGCCCCTATAACCGGTGGTTTTTATTACTTTGTATTATTCTCTATNTAAGTCAAAACCTCCGGCCTTAAACATACCTAACAGCTCATCTCTGAGCCGTAAGGAGCCAGCAACGGATGGCATTGAGTAGCACACGTCGTCCATGTAGCAGTTCTTAACAGCAACTTGAGCGGCAAGCGGAAAAGACATACGTTCGTCCTCGCACAGTTGTCTCACCA